TCAACCTCTCCTTTCTGTCTGTAGAGATCTCCACTCCTACCTCCTCGGTGAACAGGAGGACAATGATGCCAACCAGCCTGCAAACAACAACAACAATAACAACCCTCCCCACGGTCCTCATAACAACAACAACAACCCAGCCCCAGCTGTGGGTGAAGGACTGCATGCAGCACATCAGGCTATCCTGCAGCAGGGGGGGCCAGTGGGTTTCCAGCCATACCACCGACCCCTGCGCTTCCCTTTCAGAGTGAGACAATCCTCTGATTACTTTACAATCATCTCTAGCATACTCCATCATATTTGAAATTTTTCACCTCTCTGAAAAACACAAACCCTTACAAAGTATTTTCGCCTAGTTTGTAGTGCAAATATCTTAGCACACTTGAAATTTAACCAACTCATATGCAAATAACTTTCAGAAAGACATACGAGTTTGTTTCAAGTCAATAATTTGTTAATATTGATGGAAAAGTACTAGTTTCATCCACTGGCAGCTTATTTCCCTTCTAACATGGGAAAATATCTTGTCATAAATGAAATGATCTGAACTAGAACTAGTGCTATTTTTTACAAGCTCCGACATCTAGCTGAAAAGTGACTTGTGATATTTGCACTGGAAACTAGACAAAATGCTTGGTAAGATTTTGTGTTTTTGCAGTGTGCACAGATTTCTAATAATTTCTGTACGAATTAGGGGTAATTTGTACATCCTAAAGATTCCAACAGAGAAAGTCATAAAATGTTTTTTCCCCTTTCTCCTATTTTAAAATGTAAGAAAATCTAATGTTTCTGAATTGTTGTAAAATATGAAAGTTACTTATGTGGTTTGTCCTCTCTTCCCTAGATTGTGCTCCTTATTATTTTCATGTGTATCACTCTACTATTGGCCAGTCTGGTTTGCTTAACTCTACCAGGTAAGGAGTGATGTCAAACAACTACACTAACAGATAAATTACTACTTTGTTGAACTCCACCCAAACCATAATGAAAGGTCTGTCTCTTTCATATATACACATAATGAGAAGCCTTTTCTGAACTATGATAAGTGAGGAGAGTCTTTTTTTTCTTCTTTGTTACCACTACAAAGTTGGCTGTGATGTGAATAATTGCTCTGCCATGTGTATGTTTCAGTATTTACAGGCCGCTGGCTTATGTCTTTCTGGACTGGAAACTCTAAAATCCATGAACTGTACACAGCAGCGTGTGGTCTGTACGTCTGCTGGCTCTCGGTGCGTGGAGTCACTGTGTTGTTGGCGTGGATGCCACAGGGACGGATCGTAATCATGCACAAAGTCCAGGAATGGACACTCATGGTGAGCAGTGGAGTTTTAAGCTTAGTTTTAATAAGCAAACAGGAGCAGTGGGAATTATTAGCTTTCTAAAGTGCTGTGACTTGCTTTCTATAAAATAAGCATCTGATTAATTTTTGAGCAGCTAGAATTGAAAAAATCAATATATAATTGTTTGTTGTGGTTTACAATTTAAAGAAAATATGTATTATACATTGACATCTTTGGCCCATGTAGCTAAAAATGTGTTAATCAAATTTCATGCTGCAAACGTATTTAAAGAGACATTTATAAATGTGTTTCTTAACTGTTTTAGAGCAATTGTGTATTATTTTCAGTCTGAATGAAACTAAACTTCCTGCAAAGTTGGACAAAGTATTTATCCAAAGTTACACAAAATGTCATTAAACTTTTGGAGAAAAAAAAGTCAGAATGTTGCTTCTCTGTCATTTTTTATCCAGTGATACAATTTTTTGTGAAAGACTAGTAGACTCACCCTTGTCTTTGTTTCTGATATTACTCATGTAGATCCTGAAGACCCTGGTTGTGGCTTTGCTGGTTGCTGGAGTCATCCCACTGTTACTGGGGCTGCTGTTTGAACTGGTGATTGTGGCCCCACTAAGAGTACCTCTAGACCAAACTCCTCTGTTCTATCCTTGGCAGGTAGGATTGTATATGCATACCAGATTGTCATCTCAGCAATTTTTCACCTAAACGTGCATTAAGAAGTTCTTATATGCTCATGTCGTGATATTACTTTCAGGATTGGGCTCTTGGAGTTCTCCATGCCAAAATCATTGCAGCCATCACCCTCATGGGCCCACAGTGGTGGCTTAAGGCTGTAATTGAGCAGGTAGAGTATTAATGAATAAAAAATATAAATCTGAGCCTTTTTAAATTTCCTAATTTCTGCTGACTGAGATTAAATTGCCTGTTCATGTTGTTTTTCTGTAAAGCAAGACAACATGGAGCTTTCTGTTAAGCCCCAATGAGCTTTGAGCTGAATCCTGTTAACTCTCCTCCTCTTCACAGGTTTATGCAAATGGAATTCGCAACATTGATCTCCAATTCATAATCCGAAAGCTGGCAGCTCCTGTTATCTCAGTCCTGCTGTTGTCCCTGTGTGTGCCGTATGTGATTGCTGCCGGAGTGGTTCCTGCTGTCGGTCAGTATTAGAAATGATTTTTATTTTTATCACTTTAGACCACAGGTGTCAAACTCCAATCCTCAAGGGACGCTGTCCTGCAACTTTTAGATGTGCCTCTGCTGCACCACAACTGAATAGAACAATTATAATGACCTATTAGCAAGGCTCTGGAGCGCTGATCTACACAAGGAGGAAGTAATTAAGCCATTTCATTCCAGTGTTTTGTACCTGTGGCACATCTAGAAACTGCAGGACAGCAGCACTTGAAGCCTGGAGTCTGACACTTTTTCTTCTCCACAATATATAAACAGCATATACAGACTCACATATGTACATGGGTCCTTGCCCCTCCCACTCGCCTCCCCTAGAGTTTTACTAATTGTCTATGAACAAATTCCATCTTCCATCCAACTACTTTTCTCATCGTCAACACGCTTTAGCCTCATTCTTGTGATCGCTTTCAGTCAGGAGAGAAGTGAAGACCATATACTTGTATTTGTCTCCAGGTGTTACTCCTGAAATGGAGATCCTGATGCAGAGGAGAATCTATCCATTCCTCCTGATGGTGGTGTCACTCATCGGCATCCTGTCTTTCCAGATCAGACAGTTTAAACGACTGTATGAGCACATCAAAAATGACAAGTATGAATTTTTGTCTTCCATAATTTTTTTTTAACAATTCTAAAATCTTTATTTGTATAATAATTTCTAAGACTCTTATTTTAATTTGGTCTCTATTGAAACATTTAGCATTTTATGTCTGAATATAAACATAAAATGCTTTTTATTCTTCAGATCTAACAGGTTGTAGAAAAAAGTTAATTCTGACATGTGTTCTCCCAATGCAGGTACCTGGTTGGTCAGAGGCTTGTCAACTACGAACGAAAATCTAGCAGAGCAAACTCTATCCCAACCTCCAACCCCATCGCAGAGTAACATCTTTGTGTCCAATGTGTGCCACGTTTTTGCACCAGTTACCCATTGTAGACCCCCCTCTGCACAGGGTAACTGTAGAGGGTATAAACATCATGTGTATTGTCATTCATGCCTTGCTTTTTGTGAAGCGCTGCCTCATAAATTGTACATGTGTAAATACTTTGAAAGCAGACTTTGTCTTAAGGAAAAGGACAGTTGTGGATTAATGCAATGACCATTGTACATCTTAAAACCTGTATGTATAATTTATTAAATCAAAGTGACAGTTTATATTTTCTGTTTTCAGCAAAATCTGTGTGTGTGTGTGATTGCTCAGCAAAGACATCTGGTAAAATTAGGATGCATAATTTTATTTTAATCATTAAATTACAAAAATGTAAAATCTTATTGATCAACCAAATGTTATTGCTCTAATCACAATTTCTGCAATTTTTCACTCAGTTAATTGGTCATTGCCAGTTCAAATACTCAAAACCCAATCTAAGTTTATGTACTTAGATTAGGTTGATTATTGCAATTCATCATATGCATAAAAATAACTTGCATTGTGTTCCATAATCAATTAGACTACCTTGCAGTTTTTAAGAATATTAAACACAATATGTAGAGATGATTATTTTTCTATTCTGATCAATTAAAAATAACTTCCTAGGCCAATTACACTTGTGTACATTTTATTCTTATTTGCTATTTAGTCTTTTTAATTAAAAAAAAATACAAAATTATAAAAAAAAATTGGTAACCGGAAGCACCTCATCGGTGCATCAGAAATTGTAGTAGGTGTATATTTTTGCTTTAAAAGTTATGACATCCATAAATCAGTATACAACTGGGGGTGGAGTAATTGTGTCATCCTTTGGAATAAGTGGAGACTGAAGCACAATTCCAAAGTGTTCTGCCAGAACAGCCGGAATTTCTTCATCTTTAAGTTCCCTGGTTGTAGTTTCTAGCCCACATCCCGTTGCTTCAGATGGGAATGTGGTGGTAATCAGCCTGCGGCCAATGTAAGTCACCCTCCCGCCGGGTCTCAACACTGTGCAGAGGGACTTGCAGAAGAAGATGGAGCTTGGAGAGCTCTGGTGATACTGGCACATCTCGGCGAAGTCCTCCAGACGCCGAGGTTCCAGGGTGAACTTGTAGATCTCCGTCCAGTCCCCACCTTCGCCTCTGTTTTCCTCCTTTTGCCACTCCAGAAAGTGCATGTCGTCCATCCTTCTGAGACGGTAAACTCTGTGGCCCTGCTCCTGAGGACCACAAGTATCCAACGAAAGCGGGACACTAAAACCAGCAGCGCCGAAACCGACGTCACACAGCCACCGTTTCCCGTCGAGGTTGACCATTGTGATTAAATGGTCAAACGGGGGCCCGTAGCGACTGGTGACCGAGTTCTTCACCTGACCTGAGAGCACAGTGACCTGGAAGCCCAACTGGGTCAGCAGCCAGTAGAACAACGAGTTATTCTCAAAGCAAAAGCCGCCTCTGCGCTGGTTCACGACTTTGTCATAAAGGACCGGAAGGTCCATCTTGACCTGTCCACCGCTGTGCACCGTCAGGTCTTCAAACGGCACCGACAGCAGGTGACAGGTGTGAACCGAGCGGAGCAGCTCCAGGCTGGGCGCACCTGGAGGTCCTTCAAACCCGATCCGCGTCAGGTACCGATCCAATTTCATCTTCACGGAAGACATTTTATTTTTTTTACCCCCTCTATGCTTTCGGTTTCTAGACGCTTTACTTCCACTTTTCTTTCCAGACTGTTTTGGAAACCGAGTGCAGAGGAATTAAGAGCTGAAAGCGAACAGGTGAAACATAGTTTTCCGCATGAATGTGTCGTTGCACAGGGTCAAAGTTCATAAAAATTGTGCCCTCGTGGACCGTGGTATATAATGCAGAGGCGTAGTTAAGGAAAACAGTGCCAGAGGCTGATGCCCAGTCCTCAGTAGGGTCTAGAAGTTCATGCCATATAATTTCCATAATTTCTCAAATTTAGAGGAAATTCACAGCTAAACTTTATTCATTTACTAAGAAAAAAAATCAACATTTTTTCAAAATATGATTTGTGGATGACTGCCCAGTTATGACTTGGCCATACTATAATATACAATCAGTTTTTTTTTATAGTTAAATAAAAATGTTTGAACTAAACTATTTTTCCTTTATGTTATATGTGGCCTTCCTGTCTCGTTACATTGCACAATATTTTTAACCACCAACTTGATCGACTGTCAGTTATTCTTCCAATTTCAAGGTTGAAAATTTGCCCGCACCCTCTGACTTAGTCAAATGTCTAAATGTTATAATTTGTAGGTTGTGATAAACAGTGGTATTACTGTTGGAGTCATTCAAACATCATAATTAATCGTGTACGTATTCATTTAAGTTTGACTACTTCCTGTGTGGCTACGTGTGAGTGACGTCTTCACTTCGAACACTCCCTGCTCCCAGAAGAACAGGGAGAGGGAGAAAGATGGCGCCCACACACGTCCTGAGATGCTGTCAACGGGGTTTAGCCTGGATCCCTGTGATTTTTATCGCCCTTGTCGTCTGCTGGTCCTACTACGCTTACGTGGTGGAGCTTTGTTTGTGTGAGTAGACGGCTCGCTGCTTTCTGTCGCGTCCCGAGAGGCTTTTCAGGCGGACATGTTTTCATTGAAGTGTCCACTCACAAACACACAGCTGCTGCTGCTGCTGTTGCTGTTGCTGCCATCAGGAAGTTAATGGGCTGCAGCTCAACAATGGTGCTGCCTGCCAGCCGGCTCCGAGCACACGGATTCGTGTCTGTTCGTCTGACATCTCGTCGGGTTGTGCTGCATTAGGAAGGATATGTTTCGGGGACCGCCTAAGGTTTCTCCAGCTGCACTTTAAGACAGCCGGTTTAGTATTTCTTGTTTTCTGCTCGTTTTGAACGGAGAGCGCGTTTTTAAGGTTCTTTTAAATTGAAAGAAGCAAAAGTTAAATTTAAGTCTGACTGCGTCCTGCGATTTCTCCGTATTTGTCTCCTTTATTTAATCAGGAGTTAACTTTTATGCTTAATATTTTGCTATGTATTACTCTTAATTTTATGCAAAACTTATATGAGCTAATTCTAGAAAGCCCCACTGCTGAAGCTTGGTTTGTACTCTGAAATGAGGCCATGTGAGTAAAGATGCACCAACTATCTCACAAAGATTGGAATCGGCCAACCAATTGATGGATGGATTGTGACCCATCCATCAATTGTCCATACCTGCTTAGCAGGGTTGCTTGGGTAGTGGGTCTCAGCCTGATGCCTACCTCCAGCAGGCATTGGCTCAGAGGAGGGCTTCATTTAGGACAAGTAGCCAATCTATCTCAGAGACACACAGCATAAACAGTCTTACACGCACATTCACACACAATTTTAGAGGAACCAAGTATATGTTTAAGATTAAGATATGTTTTGGTGCTGTGGGAGGCAGTAGGAGTACCCAGAGTAAACCCACACAGGCTATCCTGTGATGTGCTTTGAGGAACAAATGGAGAAGTGTTAGAGAAACCAAATCAGAATCTGTAAGTTTGACTTCAGAGGAAATCTGATTGGCCAGGAAAAAGGGATCTTTACATAAAATTTGTACAATATTAAACCAGCCACTAATTGGCTAAAGTTTTCCTTTATTAAGATCATAACTCTGACCCAAGAATATCTTTTGGGAGTTTTATTCTTTTTAGCACACTGGATAGAGATAAAAAAAAAAAATCTTTGTTTCTAAAACGAACATAATATTTCTGGAAGTCCGGGTCAAAGAGCATCACTGGAAATTTCAGTAACTCGCCACTTTGATTTTCTTTTTTTCCCCATTCTGAAATGCCATTTAAATATCTTTTGAATCTCTAGCTGTCGTTTTTTTTTTTTCTTTTTTTTTGTTATTGTGCAGAAAGAAACTCTTTATTTCTGTTTTATTGAGATTATTTTCTAACATTTATGTTTTCTCTGTATCTCTTACAGACACCATTACCATGATGGGAGAGCGGAGTAAGTACTGCAAAAGATGAAAAGTGTTTAATTTGTTGCAAACGGTATTTCACTGAGCTGAACCTGTTCGTATCAATCTCCCTGAAGTCTGCTGTAATGCACTCTGTAGACTTGCTGGCTCAGAAAAGTTTGCTTGCTTGTCGCTCGGCAGCTCCTCCTTAATCAGCACTACCTATTTGCAGTCTTTTCCCATTAATTATATAACTGTATCCTCATCAGGCCTGTAGTCTGAGTAGCAGCGGTATTACCATAACTCATGTTCTGCTTCTGCACACTTACTGGATGGTTTGTGTTACTCTCCCGCTGATCCATTCTCCCTCCCCCTCCTCCAGTTGTCTACCTGATCTTCTTCCACATCTCTTTCGTCATGTTTGTGTGGTCTTATTGGAAGACCATCTTCACCAAGCCTGCCAACCCTTCCAAAGAGGTACAAGATCCCATAGCACTCCCTTTCTGTGTGCATGCTTCTGATCCCCTGCCATGCTGAAACCAGCTGGATGATAAAAGCGTCATGTCCACTTCGTTCCAGTTTTGCCTGCCAAAAGCTGAGAAGGAGCGCTACGAGAAGGAGGAGAGGCCAGAGTCCCAGCAGGAGATCCTGTGGAGAGCCGCCTCCACCCTGCCTCTGTACACTCGCACGGGCACCGGAGGTAAGGCTGCGTCACCCAGCTGGTAACAGGGATATACTGTAGTTCATAGTCACCCAGTTATGACTGAAAGATTGTGGGAATCATGTTGCAGCGATCCGCTATTGCGACCGTTGTCAAGTCATCAAGCCGGACCGGTGTCACCACTGCTCCGCATGTGACATGTAAGAGAACCAGACTACCTTCAAGAAATTCTGCTCTCCTGTCAACTCTTTCTTTTTTGTTGTTATGTATTTTGTTTGTGTGTCTCTCTGTAATTTGACCATTTGTTTTTTGTTTTGCTGTGAAGGTGTGTGCTGAAGATGGATCACCACTGTCCTTGGTAAATCTGATCTCCTTCCTTGTTTTACAGTCCCTTAGAAAAGTTCCAAAACTCCTTGAGCCATTAAACACATCCACAGCTACAATAGACTGGTTTATTTGGAAGCATAATCATGGGTTACAATGACCTGGACCTAAATCTAATTTGTTTTGCAAGACATGAAAAGTGTTGCTCATGGGTAGAAGAGTCAGGGTGTAGTGGTGCGAAGCTGCATGTGCCAAAGAACTTGTAGATGTAATTGCAATTAAAGGTTGTTAAAACTTGCGGCCAAATTTACATGGTAGTTGCTTTTCTAGATTTTGTTTGTAAAAGACTTTAAAACCCACAAGTAGTTGTCTTTCCAGTTCATGTTTGTGAATCTGTGCCTTTAATATGATAGAATCTGTAAAACTTTAAATAGTATGAAAATGTTGATATAGCATTAAGGTCGAGTATTTTCACATGTAAGACACATTTACTTCACTTCCAGTCAACGATTGAAAAACTCGTGGCCAGACCTTAAGAATGCCATTGATTTTTATTTTATTTTTTTCTCTTGCTTAGTCAATTATTGATCAATTTATCATTGGGGATTGAATGTTTTCTCTCTTCTATAAATAGAAAATGCTTAATAGGGTCTTTTCATATTTTTTGGAGCCTTTTACTGATTAATAGTCCAGAATTTCCACTCTCTTTTTGTAACGTTGAATTTCTGTCTAATGACGTGACTGTTAATGAATTATGTGTCTGTGTGCAGGGTGAACAACTGTGTTGGCTTCTCTAACTACAAGTTCTTCATCCTCTTCCTGGCCTACTCGCTGGTGTACTGTCTGTTCATTGCCGCCACGGTTCTACAGTATTTCATAAAGTTCTGGACCGTGAGTACTTGAAGCAGAGGTGTTGTCCCTGTGTGTGTTTTGCGTGTGTGTGAGTTCAGATGCAGATCTGTTCGGAATGAGCTTCCACTCAAATGGTTGTGCATGGCGCTGACTGCTCCTGTGCTGTCTCTTTTTATTTTTCTTTCCTCTGTCCGCTCTCACCCTTCACCCCAGTTCTCTCCCAGTTTCCTCGTCTGAAGTCGTGGCACACAACGGGTCATTGTTCTCCGATTTTTCTCTCTCCACGATCAGAACCATCAGTCACATCACTAGAACAGCAGCAAACACTCTTGCAGCCGCTCCACATGCAGTTCCTTTCATCTCTTCTCTCTCTCCATTCTCACCAGTTTATCCTTTTTTTTTGTCTGCTTGCTTTTCCCCTGTTTTCTGACTGTTTTCTCCTGTAGTTCCTAACTGGTCTTGTTTCTGTTTATACTAAAGCTTTGTCGTAGGAAATCGGCAGAGAACTGCCCAAAGGTAACCCAGCCGTTCTCTGAAGCCACGAGTTTTGCATGCCATCGTGATGCGCATGCAGTGACACCGTTCTCATCCTACTGTTGCCTGCGTTGCTTTATCCCTCGCTCCGTTCTAAAATTACCATCCCTGTAAATTTGTTATTGATCCCCGTTTCCCTCTCCCCACAGAACGATCTGAATAACTCTGCCAAATTCCACGTCCTGTTTCTGTTTTTTGTGGCGGCCATGTTCTGCATCAGTATTCTCTCCCTCTTCAGCTACCATCTGTGGCTCGTAGGGAAGAACAGATCCACAATAGGTAATGCATACACATGCATTCAACAGTTTTTTTGTTTTTCTTTTTTAAAGATGTTTAATAACAAAATTTTTAATGGACTCAATGATTTGTTGACATTTTAAGCAGCCTTGCAGGGTACTAATGCAGTTAAAAAATATTCCAAACTTTGTAAAATTTCTTGATATAAAAGTATAAAACGTGAAAGCATTTTTACATTTACTTGTCCCACTCAATAATCACCATTGGTTTTGAGCACTTAGTCAATCAAAAATAAATAAAAAAAACCTCTAAATTCTTTAGTTCTGGGATTTTTTTTACTGGTCCCCAATTTATTGAATCACATCAAGTTGAGATTTAGCCATCATAGTTTCTAAAATATTTCCATCACTCCGTTGTTTCATGAATTTTTTCAAGAACAAAAAAAAAAGAAAGAAAAGGTGACACTTTTTTCTGCTCACATAAAGAGAAGAAAAATGTAGATTTATACCTTAAATTTTAATTTTTTTTATCCAGCATGTCCCATGACAGAGAGAGGCTGAAAGAAGAAAACAGAACAACTTGATGTGATGTTTTCACATTTGTATTATCTGCTGAAGGCCTATAAATGATCAGCAGATATCCTTCCAACTTCCTTTGAAATGACTACTTCCTCTCACTTCAGTTTTAAACACCTTACTTTGAAAAGACATGAACAGAAATGAAGACTTTCAAGAAACCTGTAATTTATTTCTTTCTGTTAGCAGAAAGAGCGGTATGAACAAAATCGATCTTGCTTATGAGACAGTCTGTCTGTGTTTTTCCTCCCCTGCTTATGACCGGTTATGCATGTTGTTCCAGTGTTTTATTACTTTATGGTCTCTCTCTTTGCGTTGCGTCCTCCCTACAGAGGCATTCAGAGCGCCAGTCTTCAGAACAGGCTCAGATAAAAACGGTTTTTCTCTGGGTTTCCGGAAGAACATCGCTCAGGTCTTCGGTGACCAGAAGCAGTACTGGCTGCTGCCGATCTTCACCAGGTAATGGTCTTGCAGTTTTGGAGACACAGAAAATAGCTTAAGCTCAGGCTTTTTTTTTTTTGTTTTGGTTTGGTCTTTTTAGCATATTTGAATTTGGCTCCAGTTCATGCAAAGTTTGTTCCCTTTTAAATTGAATTTGTTAATCTTAAATTTCTTTCCCATTTGCTCCAGTCAGGGGGACGGTCTGACATTTCCCACCCGATTGGTCAACGCTGATGCAGAGCAGGCCACTGTCACTCTGCAACCTGATTCCAATAAATGGTGATGACATTTTTTTTTTTTTGTTCATATATACATCAGAAAATACTTCATTTTGTCTCTTTCTGTTTGGAAAGCAGGGCTAACAGAACTTCGTCTTACAGCATACCGGAGGTCTCCGTGAGCCCCCTCAGTGAGTCACAGAACCGCCTTCTGAGCAACGAGCAGCAGGCCAACAACACTGAAGACCACCCGGCCGAAAACTTAGTCAAATCAGGTAAACGAGGGATGCACCAATCCACTTTTTTTTTTTTTTTAACTGCGATCCAGATATGAGGTTTAGCACCGTTTTAATACAGAAAAAACAGTGCTGAATTGACTTAAAACATTTATCTTTTTAACATAAATATGCAAAATTACAAAATTGTTTGGTAACTGTGCACCAGTACAGCACACTTAAATACATCAATAGATTCACAAGCCTGGCCAAACATGTAAAGCAACACAACTGTAATTTGTTCAGTCAGTGGAACGTGGAGTATAATGTTTTTATTGTTATACTCCAAAAACATTGGAGTATAACAGCCAATGTAAAATAAACAATGAATAAGAAAACTGACAAAAACAATAGGTTGACTCTCTTGGTCAAACTGCACTAAAGCAAATGGTCAGAAAGTGCAATTAGGTATTCTAAATATAATGTAAAATAAATAAGACCTCACAGCACAAAGCATAGTACTGGAGAGAATAGATCTGCCCTTATGGATCGGGCTCATTGCCACCAATACCCCATGTAGAAATCATTTTTCAAATCAGGACCGATGCATATATTAATATCAGAGCGGTGCATCTCTTTATGAAAATTATTGCATTAATCTAGATTTAATTAGACGTTTATGTACCTCTCTGTGTTTTCGCTTTCACTTCACAGCCGAGAGTGAAACCGTCACCATGGAGAGTGAGTCCTAACCAGGTAATCAAGGTCCACTCAGACCATTTCATTCCAACATGCATGTGATCAACATGAATGATCACACGCATGATGGGCTTTTTGATTCTTTATTTGAAGCATTGTGTCTTCAGGCATGGACTGATAAGTTTGAATGTATTGTGACAATTCTTGACGATGCAAGGTTTGGATTTGTTTAGTAACAAATAAGGAGCAGTGTTTGCTAATTTATTCTGTTTCTTCTAGGCTACAGGAGAAACATGTCATCTAAAGTGATGCCTTAAAAAAACAACAAAAAAAACCCCAAACGGTCTTGTTCATCATCATGGCAACAGTTCCCATAAGTGGATTCCTCACGGACACATTCAGAGAACCTTTTTGGAAACGCAGTCCACTGGCACAGGGCACCACAGTATTGCTTTAATAGCCTTGGCGTTTTTGCATGCAGTGTTGGACGGACATCTATTAAACACGGGTTCCCCATCACCTCACTCGGCTTGGACGCATTTCTCTGCTTTTGTTTTGCAAGTGTAAGAAGATCTGCAGGACTCTTCAGTTGAACATTTTTTTTTTATATATAATTATTATTATTTTTGTGCCAACAGCCTCCACGATGCACCTGATCTCAGACGCGCCGAGCGCGCTGTAAAATTTTTCAGCATTGTTTTTTTTTAAACCAATCCATATTGTGGAGATGGATCCTTGCTACCCATTCTGTGCATCTCATCTTTTTTTAAAAAAAGAATTATAAAGATGGAGTGATTATTATTTTTATTTTTTATTTTTTTTGCACCTTTTTGAGATGGATGTTTCTGCCACCAAAAACCTGGACCGTTGCAGAGGACTCTACCCCACGGTTCAGTGGACTGTGCCTGTCCTCGGCATCAGAGACTGGAACCAGACTTCACGTGGCGAGATATTTGAGCACAAGATGGCGCATTTGCACTTTGTTGATATTAATTGTCCAACAATACAGCATTCTCTTTTCCCTTTTTTTTTATTTTACTTTAACATATCCAAACGATATCAATGGTGTGACAGATGTTTATGTGTTACAGTCATCAAAAGCTGACTGAAAGGATTAGCTCAAAGTGTCTTCGAGGCTAAATGGCGTTGAATTATGCTGCTTTAAAAAGATGAAACGGTTGAACCTGGAAAGTGTTTTACCCAGTGCACTCTGGCTATTTTGTTTTTCTTTTTTCTACTGTTTGGTGGTTTATTTCCACAGCTCACAACTTCAGCCTTTACCAAGACACCTGCTGCCAAATAAGGGCTGACTTGTCAGGAGCTCTGACATCTGAACCTGAAGTGTTTACAGCATTTTAGCTTTATCCTAACCTCCCAGGCCAGTCTCATCACATCCCGAAATGGATGCAGCAGTTTCTGTGATATGTTTTTTTAATGCATTTATACGTCTCTGAAACGTGTTGCGTTACTAGTTTCAGACAGTAGGTGGAGAGAATGTGCTTTTGTTTTTTTTTGTGCACCAACGCAAATACAGTTAAAACCAGATGTTCACATACAAAAGACACAACCTTATTCTTTATGCCTTTTCTGATTGTAAATCACACAGAACATTTCCCGTTTTAGTTCAGCTAAGGTTACTGCAATACTTTGTGTTTGCGAAATGCCAGCTTAATGAGGAACAGTTTGTGAATTTTAGAAAACTCTCGTAAAATTGTTTTTTAAACTGTGAATTGGGTTAAAAGTTCAGGATTTCTTTCCATAAACCACTTTGTGGTGGTAGAATTAGGGTCATTGTTCAAATGGGTGACCTGTTTTTGCCTGAGCTTTAACTTCCTGGCAGATGTCTTCAGATGCTGTTTCAGCGTAGTCCCTTTTATTGGAGGGGGCCATGTGTGTTGTGAATCACACCAGTTTGGAGTGAAACAGCCACATGGTACCTTCCTCCCTGTACTTCAGTTTGGGATGGTGTGCTGTGGCTGGCAAGCTTTACCTTTCATCCCTCTCTGTCAAATGATGGTGATGACGGACAGGTATTCTCAGACTGTAATGCGTTTCCTTTAATGTTTGTTTTGGAGTAGTGGTTTCATTTTCGCTGAACGATGTCAGTATAGTATCAAGAAGGTAGAGGTGGGCTATGAATCAATAGCAATATATATCGGAATGGATACGTGATCGATATCAACAAAAAATACATCAAATAGAACGTTCAATAATTTCAGTGAACTCGGATGCAGAACCGCACAGCATTCTGGGGGGTGTAGGCAGAGGGAAGGCGTTTGTCCCTCAACTACTGATGGCTAGCTTAGCAAGATGGATGGCGTCAACCAACTTACCCAATGTTTTGTTACCGATCAAATATCTTGTTGAGAAAGTTTTGTCTCTAAGCAGTTTTGAACCGCGTGGCAAAATAAAAACAAAAATTGGAGTGAAAGGGAAAAGTTAGTACAAAAGCTTGACTGTGGATAAAACATGAAAGATTATGCCAGCAATTTGGCAGTATTTTACATATTTAAAATGAAAAACTAATCAATAATAATCGATATTGACTGATATGAAATGTTTATATTGTGATATGTTTTTCAGTCATATTATCCAGCCCTACTTGAAGGCATCATAAATCAATTCAAAAGAAATTTGATTCCAAACGGAAATTAAATCTACTGATTACTCGAATCTAATTGGATGTCATATTTGATTTTGAAGACGATAGTAGAGTTCTTTAAACTTTATCTCTTATTATTCTTGTGTATCTATTAGAATGCGATTACAAGAAATGTGCATTTTTTAACCATTTATCTGGTTTCAAATGTAAAAGTCTGTTCTGAGGTCAGTTTTCTTTTTTCTTACTGTAGTTCCCCCAGTGTTAGCTCATTGTGGATCGTTTTACTGTGATAAACCATTCATATCTGTTCTGAAAGCGAATCGGACCCCTCTGATCAGATCTGAAGCTCAAATTGTGCCAGTTTTCAGAACTGCTGAAGGACACCCCGGGTTTGTTCGACACTCTTGCTGTAAGTGGTCTTGTTTCAAAATGTCGAACACGGGTTTCCTGAATCCCAGGGTCGGCTGGGATCTATAGAAACCTGTCGCTGGATGATCCCCTCCGCAGAACAGATCCCACCAAACTCTCTGGTCGTGATGTTTACAGCCTGTTCGTTTTGAGCTTTGTGCGGTGAAACGTCGTGAGATTCCTTCGGAAATCTTAACTTCAGAGTTGTGTCTTTCTGGGTATGCTTATTATTATTGTTATTATTATTTTTATGCTTTACAAACCGGCGAATGAAAGGTTTTGTTACTGCACTATCACACTGTGGTTAGATCTCAAAAGTACTAGACTAAGTTACTGTAACGGATCCCTGTCCAAGCCAAGGTTCTGTCCTCATTATGTATAGCTCGTGATTTAACATTTAGTGTAAGAAAATAGTTTCAGAATGTTTTTGTGTCACACATAAGGAACTCGCATCGAACCTGCCGTCTTGTTTTACCGTTGCCTGTATCTTCTGCCCGGCTGTTTGGCCCCCCTAAGCAGAGTGTGTGTGTATGTGTGTGTGCGTGAATTTTTTTAATACTTAATTTTTAGTGTCTTTTTGTAATATTCTTGTATTGGAGGAATGCTTCTGTGCAAAAAAGAGATTCTGGACTCTGGCTCTAAGCATGGCACCTAACTTCTGTAAAAGAGGGGAAGGGAGGGAGTTTTATTATAATACTGGGGGTGGGAGGGTTGGTGTGAAATTGTAATTTTTTTTTCTGAAATTTTTGCAAGTCATGTTTTCAACGCGCTTTACTCTTGTCTGTATAAACCGATTAAATGAAGCCATAAAAACTCCTGTGAAAACAAGGGGGATCTGATGACTTTGGTTATATTTTATACATATTTTATGCTACATCTGTCTCCACGGTTCAGGTTGTAGCCTATCATAACTGCTAATATCTTTTTATGTTCTATTTTAAAGTGTGTGTGCTATATAAGCAAACAAAAGAAAATACTATATATATTTTTCTTGTCTCATTAATTTCATTGTTCCTACTTATAACTACATGTCTCTTAATTAACTGGAAAATAAATGTTTTTTTTTTTAATAAAAAAAAAAAAGCTTGTGTTTAGTTTTCCATCAGAGTAATTGGAGGTTATTATGAGCCAAAGCAATTATTTTATCTTTCAAATTAATTCTTGTTTGTGGTTTATTTCACTCGCACACATAAGCAGGTCAGTTCTGGGTAAAGTCAACATACAAGTAGAGTCTAGAATAACATAAATTTGTTTTAGTAATTGCATTTAGAAGTAAACTCCACAGAGAGTCGAATATCCGGTGTTTATTTGTTCATTTAACTAATATGGCTTTAAACTAATTAAATCAAAATGAATTTTCTTAATGTTACACAACATCAAATAAAAATAGGACTTTCATATAGAAATGTCACAATTGTGGGGAAGACTCCTGAGAAGTAAGACCCCGGTGGAAAAAAGACACATGTAGCACTGACAACAGCATCCTTGACATTCTTGTTCGTGAAGCCGAACCCATTCAAAAGTTTGGGGACATTCATGTTTTGGCTCTTTAATCATTTGCTTGAAGAGCCAAATGATTGATCGCCTCCATTCCGCGCCGCCCGGTGTAACTTTCTGGAAATAAATTTCTGTTAGGAGTAGTTTTACTTGAGCAATGTTTTCTTTTATAAAGTATCGTTACTCCAGAGTAAAATTTCTGTATACTCTACCCAACATGAGTAACTTTGCCAAATGAAGAAAAAACAAAACTATTTTTGTGTCGCAGGTCAAGTTATAATAGATCTTTTTTTTGTTTGCACACATGCTTTGTTATTCTGGCATTTTCTACCTGCTGTTGCCCTGGAAATACTTGACCGTGTGCTAATATGATCAATATAAGCATTATGGATTGTAAGAGATAGCTTTATAGGGTTTTGGTTTTGCATTTTATGGGAAAAAAATTAGTTGCACAAGTGTTAATAGAGCCTGAAACTTATTTTGTAATCACATTATTTGTGGCACTTATTGCATTGTAATCTTTAAAATACCAGATTTTTTACATAACTATACATTGTTTTCTGTCTGACATTTTAAGATATTTTATCAGATAATCTGATCAGATACTCAGCACTTATACATTTATATGGTATGTCGGGTATGTAGTATGTTTAGAGTGTAAATAGGGTTGAATATTTTTGTTTTATAATATTCTTTTGTTTTTTGTTGTTGTTGTTGAGACGTTCTATTGTGACATTTCCTGAACAGGTCGTTGTTGAACATGGGAATTTGTTCCCAATCAACTTACCTGGCAAAACAATTGTAAAATAAAATAAAAATACTTGAGAAGTGTTTTTACAAAATGCTCTTTTACTTGAGTATTTTCTGCCATTGTTGCATTTTACTTGAATAGTGTGGCTCATGCTTCAGTACGACCATTTTCGAATGCATTATTCAAACTTAACCATAATCTGTTTAAGCTTGTTTTAAATTACTGTCATTCTTGTGCATTTTTTTATTTTCATTTTTTACATATTGGTTGTCATTCAACAACATATTTAGGAACGTTGCAACATAACTGGACGCCTACACAACAGATGGCTCCTTTTCAGATCGTCATCAGGTCAGTCATCTGATGAGCAATGAGACACTCCCTTACATAAACACTCCACAGACAGCCCTAGGGAGAATTATGGTTTATATACAGTCATGTTAAATAACTGACATACACGTCATTGCATTGTAACCTTTAAATACAATAAACTATTTCAAATAGGGCTTGGACTTGCAAAATACCTTTTGAGCTTTCCTTTTTGTTGCTGTTTTCAAACATGATTACTTTTCCAGATTTTTAAACAAAAATACACACAAGGATAAACCCCACATTCTATATACAGAGAAACAAACAAGCAAAAGGGAACCTCATAAACCCTTAAGGTCCTAAACAGGTGAAGTGCAGTGAGATCCTGTAGAGTTGAGATTTTATCCAGAGTAAAGCAGCAATAAAGTGTCTCGTTAATTACCGTCAATATCGTCATTTCATTTTTTAAAGCAGTCAATTACATATAGGTTTCTTGAATATTACAAAAATAAAAAAGTGCGATCATATATGTTCACCACTACATGTCAAAAATGTTCCAATGGACAAACAATTTGATTTCTGTACATAAAAAAAACTCTGTACCCAAAAAGAAACACTTTAATTGAAAACATTAAGATAAAAAAAAAGTATTTGAGAGGTTGAAGTCTGATTTATGGCACGTATGGACAGTTGTGTCTTTTATAGGTAACCAGTTCCAACAGCCCCAATAAATACATGTAATGGGTGGAGGACATGATGTCCGTGGTGATCAAACGCTTATGTCATGCAATAAGATGATAATTACATAGAAATTACACAATGTTGCTTTCTGGATTTTATTTTTTTACATTCTCACACTTGGGCTACACTTAAAATGAAAATGACAAACCTCTCCATCTCCAGACTTACAAAGGTAAGTTGGAAAATCAGCAGAGCATTAAATACTTATTTTCCCCAAGACAAAACCAGACCCCCAAATTAACATTATTATTTTATCAATATGTATTATAATGTATTTTTAATGTGTATTTTTGTTTTAATAATTCATACTTTTCATCATCAATATATAAAAAGTAAAAATGAAGAAAACCCGTTCATGTCATAATATTAAGACTGCTGGGAGATGCGATGTGTAGAGTTAAATTGCATAAAACTTTGCCTTTGATCTCTCCTCCTTTTCTTGTTTGACACCAAAATATGTTAGTAGGGATGGTTTGGCGCACTGTGACTGGACTAAACAAATACTGATGATTAGATATAACTCACAGCTTTTTCAGTTTTCCAACAAACGCAAGAACACGCAAACCTTTCATGAGGTAGATCTCACATTTGGCTGAAAAACATGAAGGCATCTTAGAAGAAATGATGCCACCTTTTTGTTAAGGAAATGCCCTATTACTCACATACGCATAACAATATATGTGTGGTGTTGAACCCACGTTTGTTTTTGTTTTTTTTTTCCTCTGAAAGCAATGGGTTTCCGACATGCACACTGCAGTGTGCAACGCGAGATAAGATCATCAACACCAGATTTGCCCCACACAGGATAAAACAGTAAAAGTGTGGTGCCGAGAATGCCAAAAACAAGAGTCATGAAACAAAACAAGAAGTTAAATTAAAGGCAGAGCCATATTAATTACATCTTGACAAACGACTTGGATGAACCAAACATGCTGTAATTGTCCCACATTACATTGAATGCTTCGATCACAAGTTTGTAAGCAGGATGCTGTTCGTGGGAAGAGATTTGCATCTGATGCAGTAATAGCGGAGCGATTTGGTGGGCAGCCTTGTTCTGTCAGCAGACGACTCTGATTAGGAACAGTAAACACAGCTTTGGTTCAAACTCAGTTAGTATTCTGTGCACTCAAAATCCTGAACCCAGTTGATCATTGACCCCTGTTATCTGTACGGCACCCCGGCCCTTGACACCCGCCGCAGAGAGACGTCCCCGCTCCTTCCTATGAACGCATGCCCCGCCCGTTATTCTGATGCAGTTGTAATTGCCTTTGCTAGAAGTAGCTGCAAATGAAACTACTGGCAAATCAGCGCAGGACATTGAACTGATACATCTGCTCTGCAGAGCTGATTTTGTGAACGTGCCAAACTCCAGCTTAAAGTCTCTGCAGACAGGACTGCAGCTCAACTCCCTTTGTACTGATAGAACCAAAAAAAGGCCAAAATGTGTTGCATTAACATGTTTTAAAGAACGAGAACCAAACTAAATCTGACCGTTTCCCGTGTTTCAGCCTCAAACTGCTCCTGTTTGCTTCTCAATGTCATGAACTCTGGGTCATTTTTAAAGTTGGATAATAAACTAATTTGCTTAGAAATAGAAAAAAACTACCTAAACCCAAAGTGGCCACAGTGTATCAACATGAGACACCCATTAACGGAACAACTATTTGTGAAACTGGAAAGTGATCTCAGGCTTTTGCAAACATACCAACTACTGGCAGGACTCCAGAAATCCGTGCCATACTTTCTGGAGCTTTGCTTCTGATTTTGCTTCCTGCTGAACTACAGACAAATATCTGGCGTCCAGATGTAAATTTAGCTTTGAGCAAGTCCCGGCAGTATCAGATTTGTCTCAGCACATAGGGGAACTGACATGGGAACTTTTCAGAATTGCAAATGTAACCCACCACCGTCAGCTTTGTTGGACAGGATTCTTGGAAAACTTGTTTTCTGAATAGCTCCTCATTCAGGCCAGTCAGGACAGATTCTTTTGAATAAATCACAAATATGGAAATATTAACAAGGTGTGCACTAAGTCGAGCTGTTCTAACTTGAATAAATGAATCAATGGTTGTATAAGAGTCAACATCTGTAGGTAGCTCACACTCTGCATTTTGTAACAATGTTGTGAAAGCCTCGTCCTTCGTTAGATGGAGTAGTTTGTAAAAGAGGAGCATTAGGTCACATGCTGCGATTCGTCCACACTTGTCTGTTTTTGTGCCTGCTGGGTATGTCCCTGGAATGAGCCAGTCGGCACAAGGATAAAGGAAGTTTTCTTGAACAAGCACGCCGCCCTGAAAAAGAGAGATTTTAAACATGGGGTGGGCTGAGGACGAGTTCTGTTCTCAGCCCTCCCATTAGGATGGAAGATTTTTAGAAGTTCCAGTCGAAGATACAGTACCTTGCAAAAGCATTCAGTGAGCTTTAACTTGCTTGCATTTCTGCAACATTCAAGTAGATTTCAAACGACAGACCAGCACAAAATTGCACACGTTTGTGATGAAATTTGAAGAGAGTGTAGGTTTTGTTTTCAACCCCATGACCTATGGCACTCCTAAATGAAATCCAGTGCGAACAATTCCCCTCAAAAGCCAAAAACAAGAGTCATGAAACAAAACAAGAAGTTAATCTCAGTGACGGCCAATGCCATCACAAAAACCGTGGGACACACCAGCCAGGTAGAAAGAGTTTGGGAGACGTCTGAAAACGAGCTAGACGTGTAACGTGACAAAATGCGAAACAGTCTGAAGGAGGTGCAAACCTTTGCAAGGCACTGCAACATGTATGTCTTTGGACTACAGGACGAAACCAGAGTACCAGGGGAAAACCCATGTACGCACACTCATGCATGCATGAATGTATGATTTGTCCACATGCTCAAAACATTCATGTCCCATCAATGCTTACCAAGACTAAACTATACCTCCTCCATTTGTTGTTATTGTTACTGGGACAGATGAAGTTTTCTAGTTTCTTAGTATTTCAAGGAAACAGTGTAAGACATATTTGAGACAAAAAAAAACCATTAATGTTTTGGGGATTTATCGTGTTTTGTTTTCGTTTTTATTTTTGACAGTAACCCCCCAAAAAAGTTTACATTATTGTAAATAACACGGCAAAATCACGTCAGCCAACGGAGATGGGGGGGCGGGACCACAGACTGCAGTTAAGTGTCTCTGACCCGGTTGCAGAGGGAGGCAGAATCATCTCCGAGCGAAAAACAAAAAGTTTTGCGGACTCCGCAGCGGAGAAAGTGCGCGTCCACCGACTCTTTACGCACCGAGCCGTCTGTCGCTGCGAGCAGCAGGGAAGGCACTCGACTGGAAGTCGCGCATTTTGCGGGGAGGGGGAGCGAATCCAATCAACCATCGTCCAACATGAGCAATGTGTCCAACCGAACCGCCAACCCGTGTGACGGCGAACCTCCGTTCGCCATCGACAACATCAAAAGTGAGTATGGACTGGACCTGGTTCTGTGGCACAGATTCAGCTCGCTGAGCAGGTTTTTTTCTTTTTCTTTTGATGATGAACGACCGGATAAAGAATGTGCACTTTACACACCAACACGTTTCCCCCTCTGGATTTTTAATTAGTTTGGGGCAAATTTCAAGCAGCGTTTCCACTGCGCTGTCGTGGAAATAAAATAATACAGGTGGTCGAGATTTTGTTTTTGACACTAGAAAGCTCTGGCGCAAGGGTGTTTTCTTGGCTTACATGCGTAATCTCTGCTTTATGTGACTCAAAATTGGTTTGATTTTCTTCTTTTTTTTTTGGAAAAGGGGGAGATATGAAGTGTCTTATTGGTACAAAAAGAATGCAATATGGGGAATATCACATTTCAAAAAGAAGGCATAATTTTACCATGGTGTGCCAGCAGTTTGCCCATCTCCTCACTGGACACAGAATCCTGTGTGCACAATATTAATGCATGGATTCGAGAGAAGAAAAGATCAACTTTGATGACTGACAGCATTATTTACTCATTTTTCAAAAATGGATTTATTTATGATTTATTTCTCTTTTGTTCGTAAAGAAGGTATTTTAGCAAAGTTGTATTTTACCAGCAAAAACAAAGCATTTCACTTGAAAGAGCATTGAAACTTACATCTAGATCTGAAATAAAGCAACAATTGTTCCAAAGACATATATATATATATATATATAACCAAATGTATATATATATATATATATATATATATATATATATATATATATATATATATATATATATATATATATATATATATGTGTGTGTGTGTGTGTGTCAGGCCATAGTTTTCAGCCCAGGTGTTACATTCACGACTATACAAAAATCAGTAAATTCAGTGGTTGTGAACATCCTACTTTTAGACAATCAGACATTCACCTTTTCTTTTTCAAAATGAACATCAAATCGCACAATTGGGCATAAAACTGGTCTTTGCTTGATTTTGGTTATTGATATCTGAAAACTATTACTAAGAGAAAAAAAAAACACCTGCTTGTCTTCTGTTAACAAGGACCACTTCAATCATATGATGTGAGCAGGACTGAAAATGATACACAGCCATGTTACCTGTAGTGATTGTCAAGGCTGCAGCCCACAATAGGAAATAAAAAGCTATTTTTGAGAGCCAGTAGAATCAACATTCAAGCTATCTGAACAAAAGCAGCCGTCGAATGTTTGCTTTCTTATGAGCCGTGACTCTTTGCGGCTTAGTGATTTTTAAGTTTGTTCTTTAATCACTGTGTTGTGATTCCTTCTGGGTTTTTTTTTTACGTTCAATATTTAATTTCTCATCCAGTATTTGGTTTTCATGTATTTAGAATGTCATTTTAGCTGTAGTCCGGATGCACTCTATTAAGTGTTCTGTTTATTTTTATGTTCTATAGTTTTCTCCTCTCGACTGCTGCACATTTGGTTTGGTTTGGTTCGTACACATCTTTGATCGCCTCCACAGTTTTTATGAGCCATTTTGTTTTCTTCATTCCTCACCAGGTCCTTCTGTTTTGAAGACCCCGCTCCTCCATTACCTGTCGTTTTGCCTCAATCTCACTTGATTATTTTGTACATTTTTGTTTGCAGTTTATAAGGCTGATTAAACTGTTACACTTTATAAATGTTATTGGTTTTGGCATATCCTTTGGAGATCTTTAATGGGTCACATCTGGTATCCCTCTTGCATCATTTTCTGGAGGCACCCTTAATGTTCCTTAGGATGAATCATAACTGAATAATTAATTTGGTTTCCTGTTGCTCACCACTGACACACCACGAATTCGGGATTGCATCCTGTCATTAGTTTATTGTTTTTTGATCCTCACCCACTGCTCATTCTTGACTACATAAAAACTCAAAACGGTTTGGGATTTGGAACAGATTCTCATTTGATCTTCAGTTAACGCTGTTGGAATAAAATTTTAAGTTAGCACAATACTGCACAGGATAGTTTTTGATACATATGAAATATAACATAGAAAGTTAAAGTACACTCTAATGCATATAATTTTAGATAATACTAGAACAACGGCTCACTCTATGAACGCAGATAAAGATAAAATTCTTTAAAAGAGGAGTAGACAGAACACAGGCCTTGACTCCTTGGATCTCTTTAGATAGGGAGCCTGTCTGCCAGGTAATTAACAAATTCCTGAGCATGGTTCAAAAGTTCACAAGGATCTTAAAACTTTTTATAAATAAGTTTATCTATATTAGAATTAACTATATTTCTTTAAGCATGTTTCGAATTAGTTACTTATTAGATCCAAACTTATAGTCATTATTTAGCATTACATTTTGTGCAAGCTTGCTTAAAAATACAAACTACATTCTTGTTGAAGCATCTTGAGGCAGAGATAACGTTCCAGTCCCACGCTGTAAATCAGGTCGGAGCCTGGTACGGAGGTTGGGTCTCAGAGGTAATAAAATTAACATTAAGACAGCCCACACAAAGGAAAAGAACACACCTCCTAATGCATATATTTAAATGAGGAGAATACACAGTCTATAAAAAATGGTTTGTTTCACAGGAGAGGTTGGAATCTCTTTGTGCTGAGTGAGAGTTTCCCGGAGGATGCATCTTCTGTTTTGTCTTTTTTTACTCAGTTCTTTGTCTCTGTTTTGTAATGTCTTGGACTTTTGCTCTAGGTGAGATGATTATTGTAACATTCTTCTTGGATTAAATTTCTCTGGATAAAACTCTGAATATCTGAAGTCTGACGTCTTATGATTGCTCTTTTCTCTCTGCACACTTACACAGACACAGGAATTCGGGACAAAGAATTAATTAACGAGCTAAATCAAGTTAATCCTCTTTTTAATTCTTAACAACACACAAAGATATTTGATCTCACTTGCAAATGATCTCATTCATCATGTTTGAAGACGCTGAAATGTAAACAACAAAAAATACCTGATAAAGTCTGCGTACTAATGCATTACATTGGTGAACTTTAACTTAAAAGCATGCAGTTTTTAACTAATCTAATTATAAATGTTAGGAGAGTACTGGCAGATCCGGGCATTTCTATCTGCTTTCTTTATATGAATACTGTTTACATCATCTCACTGATTGCATTTTAGGTTTATGTCGGTGTTTTCTGTATCAAATCTTTTTTGTTTGCTTTTTTTATCATCTTAATCTGTCCTCCTCACATGTTCCTCAAAACATATCCTTGCATATTTTTTTGTACTCTACAACATGTTCTGTATTTATATTATTCAATTCTCCATAATATATTTTCTTGGTCTTTGTCTTAAACTTGTTCCATCTTGTTCAAGTTTTGCCTCTAATTGACTGCAACCCCTGTATGATCGCCACATTCTTGAGCTCAAGCAGAGGGCCTATTCTCCTTGCTAATTGTACATGGATGCAAGCAAACATTATCTTGCCAGTGTCGCTCCATGATTGGTGATTAAATAGGAGAAAGTGACATATAAGAGGATTCTGCCATTTACAGATCACAGTTCATCTCCTGCTCATTCCAGCTAACTGCACCTTAGCTGTTTGGTTCCTCTCTAAGTTTTGTGATTTTTAAACGGTTTGCAGGATTTTAGTCCCTTTTATTTTGGAACAAGCGGTCTTTATGTATTTTAGTTAGGGGGATAAGCTTTTTTTTTTTTTTTTTTTTTTTTTGGCTTATTTAATTTGAATCGGTACATCTGATCAATATTTCAGATGAAGTCCTTTTTGTTGAATCGCTGTAGAAATTGTACAGTCAAACAACATGACCCGGTCAGATGAGGATGGATCAGCTTCATGTTATGGCCTGGACACCTCTGGTGAGGCCAAAGATAAAAGGTGTTCAAGCTGACAGATAAATACGTTCTATTTTTAATATGGGGGTCGCGTGCCCCTTTCTGATGGTGCCCTGGGCAACTGCCTGTATCAAAGACTTTCCACAGAAGAGACAACCAATCAAACTCAAGCAACAATTAAACTGAGCACAGAAAAGCCCCGGCGAAGCCCTGGACCTCCATGCTGTGGGGCAACTGCACTAACCACCGGACATCATGCAGCCCCAAATAAAATCTTGATTAGTAAATTTCTACAACATAGCTCAAAAATTTTGATTAGAGAATTTCTAAACAAATTTGAAGCGGACAGTATTTTTGCTTCAACGCACTGAAACGATCATCCTACTCTCTAGCATCTCGAGCTGTAAGTGCAATTAAAATAGGAAATTCTAAAAAAAAAAATGTTCTAGTATGTCCTGCACATCTGTTAGAGATTAAAATAGCAGAACCTTGATGTGGTGTAGCAAAAACGGTGCATTTCACTATTAGAATCCAGAAACGCTGCAGAAAGTTCAGTTGTGTGGATTAGCCTTGAAGTTGTTGAGCGAAATCAAAAAGGCACAACAGCCGACATGCATTGCAGAAAACCTGAAGCAAAACAGGAACACCTGTTTGTGGGGTTTGTTTCACTCTGACTGCCACTAATGACTCTGAATTCCTGACAATAAATGACTCAGATTACAAGAATAGACTCGGCTACATCTAAAGAGCTTCAGCTATTTACTGCCTTTCCTTCCATTCTTTGTTTTACATTTTCCTTTCTCTGGAACGAAAACCTTTCTCATTGACATCCATCCCCATTACGGTCAACCGTGTCATCTTGCCTTTATCGTCATCAACATTCTGCCACATCTGCCAACCTTTTCCTTCATCAACTCTTGGGGTTTTTTGGAAAATATGGTTTTAATTGTGGCAAATATGATTAAAACATTTTCAATATTGGGTTATCTTTCTGACATTAGTGAAGCAATAGAAGAGCCTAAGTTTTATCTTGGCTCAAAGATAAACGCTTTAATCTAGCAACAATTCCCTGATTTTTGCCTCTTAAAACTTGTGAGGACTTGAAGTTCTTTTGACTTTCAGGCTGTTTTTTTTTTGTAAAAGCCTGTAAAAGCAAGTATGAGCATGAACTTCTTTTCAACAAGCTCTGAAAAAAACAAAAAAACAATACATTCTTTCTGTCTTGAATGTTTTTCCCTACAGGATCGTCTTCTGGACCTAAATCTAATTGTTCAATCTAATTTGCCTTCTCTTCCTTCAGATCAAGACATATTTGGCATTATTTTGTATTCAGTCCTCACCTTCATGGCGACGGTTTCAATGCTGGTCTTCCTAGAGGAGTGTGTGTACATTTACAAGAAGGTGGCTGCCAACAAGAAGAGTGTTATCATCTGGGTGAACGGGGCCGCTCCGGTAAAGTTACAAATGGATGGTTTAAGTTTGTCTCACTTTGTCACTTAAAAGTATCACACTTCTCTGGGTTATAATTATATGTACATGTGTAGAATTGTGAACTAAGCATAGCTTTCAAGAGCTTTAATGATAAATTTAAATCTGAAAAGGTTGGCGATGCCTTTACTTACCGTCTTTTTTACCCCTTTTGATACCCCTAAATAAAGTCCCTGGGAACCTGTTGCCTTCAGAAGTTGCTTTATTAAATCAAGCCTGTTTGTAACTTAATCTCGGCATAAATATGAAAAGCTGAACAGACCGTCCTCAGGGAAACTAAGTTTTGGCAATGGCATGCTGTGGGAATCCTTTCTTTTTCCCGCAGAGAGAGTAGATACCTTACATTTTACTCTTCCTTGATAATTTATGTAATAAATCAACACAAACAAGAACACAATAGTTAACTGGATTAATGTTTTTTATATATATATATATTAGTATAAATTCAATCTTCTTTACTCTGATACTCTGAATAAATGGCCATCTGAAAACCTGCACACATTGGACATCTTCAAAGAGAAACATAGCAGTAGCCGTATTATGCTATGGGAATACTTTAGTTTTTAGCAAGGCCAAGGCCTAAGCTTAACAATTTAGCAATAACTGAATCTTAAATTCATTTTAAAACAAACGGTATTTATTGTTAAAATGAATACGCTGTCTTTCATTTCAGGTTGAACGTTTAGTAATGTCTCTTTTCTCCTGGACTTTCACAGGTGATCAGCACCATGTCCTGCATAGGGATGTGGATCCCCAGAGCCGTGATGATTACAGATCTGACTTCAGCCACGTAAGACTTCTCTTCCCTCCTCCTCTCTTTTTCTCACTTCTTTCTCTGTTTGCACGTCGTGTGAGTTATACCCTTACATCCCGACTGCTCAGGGATCAAAGGGGAAACTCGAACCTCATTATTCCTAGGAACATTTTATGGAAAACAGCCGTGCTGTTGTGCAACATGCTTTCATTTTCCTATAGTTTTTTTTCTTCCTCCCTTGACAGCCTCCGTTGCTCTTATGTCCTCGTAGCTATTTCGCCATCGTGGTGTTTAAGTTCCTGATTATGATGCTGGAGGAGATTGGAGGGGACGAGGCCTTCCTGAAGCGGGCCAGCAAACACAAACTGAAGATCAGCACTGGGCCTTGCTGCTGTTGCTGCCCCTGTCTCCCATACGTGGCCATCACACGGTAAACTCCCCCATTTATTCCCTCTCTCTACCCATTAGAATAAACCCTTTCAGTGTTTTACTTACTCACCCAAGGGCTTTTTCCTTCCTGAAGCACGAGTGGAGCTTCCACAGAAAGCATATCATTACCTTGGCATGTTGTTTTTAGGCAGTTTACTTATATTCTTGGCAAACATTGGAAGTTAACCGATTACCTATTATGTGGTCCCACTAGGGAGCACGTATCAGAAAAAAGATGTTTTATTTCCCATGATTCAACCCTGTTGAGATCTTTCAGAGTTCGTTTAAAAGACTATAAAAATAAATAAATAAAAGAAAAACAATCACAACTTTCGAAAGACTGCAAAATGGTTTGAATTCATGTGAATAAAATTTATTTCTTTTTTTTTCACATTTGTAGCATCTGAGATTTGAAGGAAATCAGAGGAGATGGAGAATAGCTGATTTGTTTGCCAGGCTGAGCAAATATGAGCTTCAGAGACATTTTAAGTAAAGCTGGAATGTAGACCACGAGCTTTGAACATCTCATTGGAGCAACGTTCAAGCCATCATCATAAAAAAACGGAAAATTTATGGCACAATTGACATGATGCCAAGGCAAGAACGATCCGTCCCCCCTTGCGGAAGTAGAGCAAACCTCCGACAAACAAACACGGTTATATGGTGAAGGTAGTGATGCTCACTGCGAAACCAGAGACATTTGGTGAGACGTTAGCCTCAATGGCTAATGTTAACACAAAGAGTCAAACGAGTCATACATCAGGGAAACAATAAGGTTATTTTCGGGAAACAATGGAGAAATCGATGTTAGCACTAAACATGAGGAACACTGAATTGCTTTCGCAAAACAAATGTGTTTCGTATGAATGCATCAAGGATCTTTACGATTCACTGTATTTGTTTCATCATCAGCATCCCTTTGGTTTCGTGATGGTTTTCTGCTCGCTTTTGGCCCTTGAAATTCCTTTTTGTTTGTTCAATAACACGACACAATATTGAAGTTTAACCGTGGTGTTTTCCATTTTGTTTTTAGTGCATGAATGTTGTCTGTCTTCAGTAAAACGATAAAAACTTTGTACATAGTTATATTCTTACAAAGTATGAGAGAGGTTATGAAGCGTGAAAACTTTTGCAAGGTAGTGCACTGCTTGACTATGATGTAACAGAGGAGCGCTCCGCGGAGGATTTTGCAACGCTGATTATGTACAGATGCAACCTGGAGTCAGTGATGAATCCTGTCATGTCAGAGAGCTTTGAAGCAGTTCTTAGCCTGTTTGAACATAATCAGCCTGTGTGCAAACAGTGCTGAATTCAAACAGGAGGAAGGCAGGATTTCCAAACAACACAGGTTGAGCAACCTCCTGGTCATTCACCTCTCCTGCTCATCATGTCGTGATCCCTCCATCCCGCTTTCTGGTTGCTGTTAATAATTGTTAACAGGATAGTTTTTGATTAAACATTAAATAACCCTGCCATTCATGTTGATTGCATGCTGACAGAAACAGAGGTAAATTTGAGGAGTTTTGGGTTTTTTCCCTAATCTGTGCAACAGAAAATCTGAACCCTACCACCCCACACACAGTGGTGCTGGTGATAACGATCATGCCAAGGCACGCTCTGCTACCTCTCGACTGATCTGTTTATAGGACATCCCTCAGAGGCATCTGGCTTTCACATCCCCAATAAAACAGGCCTTCCTCTGTCTTGTTAAAACAAAAAACAAACAAACAAAACATCTTTATGGTGAAGTTCATTTAGGGATTCAACAACGGACTTGTGGTAACTTTATGTTTCTGAGTTGAAGTTCAAGAAAAAGACAAAAAGCGCCCGTAAATTGATTTCCTCTGTTCCAACTCCAGACGCACTCTCTTCCTGCTGAAGCTTGGATCTTTCCAGTTTGCCCTTCTGAAGCTTATCTTCAGCCTCCTTTCCGTCATCCTGTGGACCAACGGGAATTTCAATCTGCAAGATGTAAGTTAAAGAAGTTAATGCCCATTATTTTCCCACAGCTCGTATGCGTGTGTATTCTTAAATAGTTATTCATTTAATGCCAATTTAATGATTTTTAAGACAGTTTTAATATGTACATGTAGCACCTCACAAATTCATTCCCCGTGAATGTTTTCGTAATTTGTCACATTACAACCACAAACCTCAGTGTGTTTTATTAGCATCTGATGTGGATATACTCATACAACGTAGATTTATGACATGGAGAAAAAAAAATTTTTTTGGAAAGCATTCAAATTGGAACGAGAAAATCCAAACACGCACCAGATGTTCTTTGGGCGTCGCCGGCAACACCATCCACACACTGAAACAAAGAGGAGAGAGCATCATGCTGTGGGATCTTTTTTTTGTTTGTTTGTTTGTTTTTCCTTTTGGTGGGGGCAGGGGGGTGACAGAAAAATACGTCATATTTACTCAGACCAGCTTATCTGGGAATGTTAGAGAAAAGCTTTTGACATCCTTATCTACAGATGTTCAGTTGCTCTTCATTCATCTTTGCTGGGTTTGAGGGTTTTTCCAATGATTGGGCAAAAACAGCTCACACAGTGCTTTTCTGATTTCTACAGTATTCATGCCTAAAATAAATTGCAGCTTAAAGCTGAATGGTTTTTCTTTCACTTCACATAGCGCTGAGCTGTCAGTCAAACAAAGTCCCAATAAAACAGATTTCAGCTTGTGGACACAGTAGGCGTGTCATTGCTTCTGCAAGTCGTGTCATAGCTAACTCTGTATTTTGTCAGGAAATCACTTCTGATTACTCTTCATTAGAGCCATTAGGACTAAATATGCAAGTTATCTATAACTGATGCTTCAGTGTGTGAGTGATTGTTGGAGGAGTCACATATTCCTCTCTTTGTTTTTAATAAGAGATTCACTAAGTCTCATCTTTACCTGACAAGGTCTTTGTTTCTAGTTACTAGTGAACAAGTAACATGTATTTAATCTAAAACAAAAGGAGAACAATATTTTAACTCTTTGCTTTTAGAAGAAGATATTTCCTTTTGTTTGGAGCTTTACTTGTTTTCTTTAAAAATTAGATAGCAATAATTACTGGATACTTTTCTGCTTTAATGTCTTTTAGATAAGATCAATCTTTTTTTGTTGGCATTTTAAGACATATATTTACAAAAAATATATATTTTTTAAATTTTTTGCTCTCTGTAAGTCTGGATTTTTTTAAACACATTTTTTATCTACACTCTTGTGCTACAGTTTACCCAGTAAAGGTTTGACTTCCTTGGTATTCTGTTCTGTAGTCCATCTATTTCTTCCACTGTGAGAGAAACCTCAAAACAATTCACCTCAGCTCCTATTCTGTCCATTCTGCAAATTTCTGGTAAAGTCTTCTGGTAAAATCCACATGCAAATAATTGTGCTCTTACATAGAAGCCATTTCCTTGTGTTGGCCTTGTTTTTTGTTTTTTTTTGCCAATAAAATTCCAAGGAAATATTTATCCCTTTCAGTCATTCCTTCTTAAAAGAGACAATCCACTTTATAGACATAGATGACTTCCAAATATTTGCTGATTTTCATGTATACTCTGTTTTATATTCCCAGAAAACATGGTTTGTCATTAGTTTTGTTTTTAAAGGTTGTTGTTCATATTCTTTCAGCATGCTTTTTAAAGGCATTGTGTTTCTTACTTTTTGTGGTGAGATCATATTGCTGCCTAAAATGTTGAGTACTGTTATTTTCTCTAGTCTCTGTTGGAAATCGGAATCTTTCCGATTTATTAGAGGCCCAGAAGTTTTGGCGATGGTGAACCAATCCGTTGGCATACTTAAGCATTACATCTTTTCAGACGAGCATTACCGGAGCAGCAACATGGATCAACCCACTTGTTGGCATCTTGACTGTCATTGCTCTGTGGCCCGTCTCCATCATTTTCATGCACCTGAGGACCACCTTGCAAACGCGTAGGATCATCCCCAAGTATGCCATGTATCAGGTAAGATCCCAAACAAACACAGAGTTTCCCAGCACCGCGCTCTCAGCAGTGAACAGTATCGGTGTGCTTGTGTTGATAGCTGGTGCTGATCCTGAGCCAGCTGCAGACAGCTATAATCAACATCTTGGCCATGAGTAGCGTTATCGCCTGCTCTCCGCCTTTTTCGTCTCCCGCCAGAGGATACAGTGAGTCTCAACATATTCTATCGGTTTCTTTGGGCTCTTGTCATTGTTAAACCAGGCTTTCGTCTTCGGCCTCTCTGCTCACACGTTGCTGATGGATTTAATTCATCAGTCAGCCAATTTGTTTGCCGTTGGAGCAGAGATCCGAGCAGTTTCTTCTTAAAATGATTAAGAAACAGGAAGACTTTCCCAAGTTAATGTGTTTCTCTGGTGAGAAACACATTAACGTTAACGTACATTAACGTTAAGTTAATGTGTTTCTCTAGTGAGAAACACATTAACTTTACCTTCTTTGGTGAAGTTAATGTGTTTCTCCCATGACATGGTGTCTGATACGACACAGATAATGCATCTACTTATTATTGATCTCCTGACACTTTAGAGTATAATCAATCCTGTCGGAGCTAAAGGTATTGCTAAACAAAATTCAGAAATTCCCCGCCCCCCCAAAAAAGAAAAAAGAATGGATTCTATCTTATGATATTGAAGTAAAACTTTAGGTTGTTATGTTGACACGTTTTGTGCAACGGCATCATTTCATTGCGATCCTTAAGCAAATCTAAAGAAAATGTCACCAGGATGCATAAGCTTGACGTCTGACTTATAGAATTATCTGTAACTGATATGTTATAAACCAGATGAGTAATTAAATCAAAGTTTTTTTACGTATGTGCAACATTTTAATGACAGCTTTTTTAGATTTCACATTTTCTCCAGAACAAATTGGTTTGTTTTTCAGCGGTATTGCACAGGCAGTTATCATAGCAAACGCAAGAAAGACTTTAATAATGTAAAAAAATTAAATGTCCAACTCATTAGGCCCGAGCAGCAAAGCGCTGCTTCAACAGAGGTGTGAGTTACTGTTAAATGAGTGGATGAAACAGATCAAGTCAACCAGGATTGTAGTGAACTCTGACCAATAGTCAGTTTGTTTCACTCCATCATCAAACTCATTGAAATGATTTTGTCTGTCTCCGCAGTGCTGAGTCAGCAGCTCCTCATCCTGGAGATGTTCATCATCACTCTGGTCACCCGGCTGCTGTATCGACGACAGTACGAGCCTCTCCCAGAAGAAGAACTGGGCGACGACAATGAAACCAAGTTGATGACATTCTCAGTTTCTGCGTGAGGGCGAGATGAATGTGTGTCTGAGAGTCTCTATGCAGGGGTTGGATGAGGAAATGATGTAAAGTTGTGTCAATCAATAAATATAAAAATTGATGTAAATGAACTTTGAGGTTGTGCAGCTGGCTAACTGGAACACTTGGGTCACTTTTTAGCAATATGTTCTGGCAAGTAAGCCTTCATCTCCAGATTGACGAAAGCTCAGTTAGAAAGCTCCTCTCTGTAACCTCTTGGATATAAACACTATTGATGCTAATATAGCTGAGCCAACTTAGCTATATTTGCTGTGAATAATTGTCCTTCATCCTCTGATGGCACCTTATTGAAATTTTTGGCACCTTTCAAATGTAAAAAAATGTTTTAGTCTTTAGTTTCCAAACTAAGTGAGGCTCTTATGGGCTTTTTTTAAATGATCCCTTCAAAGTTCAGTTCAACTGTTCAGGTTTTATTCTCAGGCATGCTTTCTTTCTAAAGTCCTTCAGACTGTGAAGCCCAAATTATAACACCTCCACCACTGTGCATCACAGCAGAATTAGTAGCTCATCAAGGAGCATGTCATTGGTCTGTACTTTTCGCTGCTATTATTATCCGATTTTGACTTTGGATCAAGTTAAGACTACACTTCAGAGAAAACTGCTCTCTGACAATATGTCCACTGTTTATATTTGCCCTGCTGTTGTTTTCTAACATCAACTGTCTGCCCCGTTTTTCCCTCTCAGCTCTGGTTAGTCAGATGACAAATCAATGTTTCAAAGAGAATCAAATAGTTTGTTTTTGTTTTTATCTTTTTTTTTTCATTGCTATTGGGAGTACATAGCATATTATGTGTATATTGAATTTGTGCCTTAAATAACCCTCCATTTTCCAAAGACGTGTGCTCTTTGTGACATATGAAACAGCTGTTTCATACGAATGACGAAACAAAGTGTAAGTCAGGAGCCAAATATTTGTTAGAGGAGAACATGTTAGAGTTGTTAACCAATGCCATTGTTGATAAGATTGCTTGTATTTTTACGCAGGATTTTGTTTCCTTGTTTGTGTGCTGCTTTTAGTTCTGAGTGGAAATAAAAGGATACAAAACTTTGTGTCTCTCAGGTTCATTTGCCTTCCAGTTTTTTAACAAACAACTCAAAATAAGAGAAACAAAAAAAGAGAAAAAAAACACCATATAAAATATATCGAGTAAAATTGGTCACTTAAAGGATGTAGAGAGGAATTCAGTTTAGTTGCATTAAATGTGAAAAGAACTTTTCATGTATTTTTTTTTTTTTGTTTTTACATTTACTATTAAATGTCTCTACTTCATCTTCACATGCAGGTTGTTTTGATATCTTTGACATTTCATTTGATAATTCTAAAAAGAATTTACAGAAGTAAATGCATTAATGATCTCCAAAACCTGCTTGAGCTCAGTGTGGAATTAAACCCATCTCCCTCAATGTCTATTTTTATATGAATTACAAATAAAACAACTTGACAATTTCTCCGTATTTTTGTGCACTATCATAAACTTATTAAGCGCCCCTGTTTAACTTTTACTCTGTTATTATCTCTTGACCTGCTCTTAAAAAAGGAGCTAAAATAATAAAAATGTCAGATTCTAAATGGCTTTTCCCTTGTGTTGCATATTGGTGATTTCACCATTCTGCCACTAGAGGGAAGTAGAGATCACAACCTGAATATCCCCGGTGTTTATATAGGCTAAAAAGCTCGATTCGGATTTTGATAATCAAGCCATATGAAGGTTTCCTTACTCCGCAAGACGACATTCAAGCATACCATACCGGTGCTTCATTCCGACCAGCTGCTACTTTACAAAATAAACAAGTGATAATGAATGATATTGACGGACGTGTTTTTAACCAATTGAATTGACTCTGCTGGCCACTTCCCAGTTTTCAGCCAATCACTGCACAGCATTAGCCGGCGCCTCCACCGCCAAGTGCGGTTGAGTCATTCTTGAAAAGTACGTGCTTCCCAGAACGTCACCACAGGACCGGATGCTGAATAGGTCGGACCTTCAAAATAAGTCGAGACAGGGCACGGCGTCATATTTGTCAGATTTAAAACGCAAACAATATTGGATCCAGATACAGAAAAATAATTAATTGTCTCGTTCACTGCCGAACTGAATGCAGACCCCACCTTATGCAAATAAAGTAAAAGTGCCTTCATAGACATTTTGCCAGTCATTTCTCAACAATTTTACACAAACATATTTAGACTGTTAGAGAATGCTGGAGTATAAAGAAAAGAATCAGAAGATTATCCATATTTACATGATTCTAATCATATATGGTAATGAATATTGGACCACCACAGGACGCACAAAACGTAAAAAAAACAGGCACTAAAATAGGGGTAAAAATTAAAGCACATAACCAAATAAATATAACACCAAATATATTATACACAAGCTTATTTAATCTAGCCTCTTTCTTAATAATCAAACAATCAACAAAAGACACACAGTTTTAACTGCTAACAGTTGTATATATATTTGAAAAATTATTAGGTTGATTACTTTTGTGTTTTAATAGGAGGTAAAATGTTAGTTGGATGAAGAACAGGTTTTGCAGCTTTCATATAATGGACTTATTTAAAGGAATGTGCATTTAAATTTAGTTTGATTTTGTAAATAAGATCAAACTTTAATGAATAAATATTTTCCATCAAGTAACAAGAATGAAAATGTAAAGTGGTCCCCTAATACCTTTCACAAAGAGATGGTAATATGCTGTTTCTTCAGAATGAAAATGACCGTAACTGCTAGAAGAATGTAGAATATTGTGTCTAGTGGTGTATTATCCTCTATTTTTTTATTATTTGTAGGGATCTTGTCATGCAAAAAATAAAAAAGAATTGAGGCATTGGAAATATATGCTTTTAAATCCAGAAATTGTACTTTGAGCTACATATGATACAATTAAAAACAATTTCAGAAGGGCACTTTTTTTGTCCCCCAGGAGAACAAAAGGCTGTACTCTAGCACGTCACTGACTTGTGGTTGTCATTGGTTCCTTCAAAGTCACAGCGTGCCGCATTTTACTTTGAAAAACGTAACAGGAAGCAGGTTTCTTCCACTCTGCGGCTTTACAACGACGAGCCGACCTGAATATCTACAATTGTAGACACAGGAAGCCGCGACGAGAGCTCTTCGTGTCCGCTTGTCATTCATCGTCTTATTCACACGAATGAGTCCCGTCGGTTCGTGTCCCCTCTGGACGGTGGAAATGTGGACGCCGAAGACAGACACGGACCGGCCGAGTTTCTGCCATCGCTGCCGGCGGTGAAGATGACAACGATGGTGCGTTCGCGTCATTTTTTCTGACTCTGAAACGTCACATCCCAAACAAACACACAAATAGGAGACGAACGCCGTCAAACTTTCAAAAATGAGGATCTTCATGTGTCTGCTGAAATACACTAACCCCAAAATCGAGTATTACTCCCGATTTTCGCCGTCTCCGCTCTCCATCAAGCAGTTCCTGGATTTTGGTGAGTAAGCTAATAATAATAACATTGAAGAATGGCTTGCAATTGGAGATGGCAACTACAGCAGGGGCCTTTCATTGTCTCATATCAACTCTTCCTAAAGTCGGACAAAACCGGTCCTATGGATAAAGCACAAAATTTGAATATTTCGTACACAAATAAACATTATAGTAGGTGGACCGTGTCTTTAAAATCCCTTATCATGGAGCAGAACTCAATACATTATAATAGTTTTAAACAATTAAAGGAATACTAAGATAATATATTATGACAATTAAGTATAAGCGTTCACATAGATAATTATAAAAGTACTAATAAATTGAATTAAAAATATATATTTTACAACTCAATTAAAATGTGTCCATAGTTTGTGTCAACACCTTGAAACATAAAAAGAATGTAAAAATAAAAAATAAAAATCAGGCATTATTGGGGGGCATCAGAACTTCTTTCTGTCTTTAGTTTTTTCTTCTGTTTTATTCCCAAGTTGTTCGTCGCAACTATGATGTGTCAACACCATCACCCACAATTTACAAAAAATGTGGTGAAATAAATGCTTAATTTTGGTATGCTGCAAAGACTGCATGGACCTGATGAGCTACAATATGGCCTCCTTCAGAATAACATATAAATTGAGGTCGTTTGGCATTTCGTCAACGCCATCAGTTTTTAGCTGACAGTGTGACTCTTTCAGTGACAAGTGTTCACAAATCTCACTTAAGCATGCAGTTAGTTCATTTTAACATATTTTACATAATTGGCTTTATTTCACATGTGTGAAGTATTTCTTTTTACTCACTAGTTTGTCACCACCTTCAGTTCTGCATCAACATCTTCAGATGGACTATATGTTGTTTTTTTTGCTTTAAATACATTTTTTGAGTTTCTTGAGAAACTCAAATATTTGTCTGTAAGACTGAGTGAAAACATCATAATAGGGTCTTTAGAAAATAATTTTGTATTCATTTTTTGTTAAATGGTGATGACAAAGTTCACGGTCGGGTCCATTAAAAATAAAATTTTCAAAAAAATTTCGCAACTGGGAGCCTGCAACATAGCATCTTTACATTTCCAAAACATTATTTATGTATACATAAGCTTGAGGAATAATAATAATAAAAAAAAATGCTGGGAAAATTTAAACTCATTTTGTCCCACTTCTCATGAATCATTGACTTCTACATAGAATAAGAGCACCACCTGTTGCAGGGAAACACTATCCCAATGAGAGGTGGCATTTCAATTGATTTGAATTTGCTGTTACTGTTGTAACTCAGCCATGCTTGCACAAGCAGCAGCATGCAGGGCAGTGGCATGCTGTGCCACTGCCCTGCATGGCGTGCAGGTATACAGAACCTCCATTCACATTGTTGTAGTTACTCAATAAGGCTTAATAACCCTCTGATAGGTTTCCCCTACGAAAGAAATAAATAAATCATGAGTCATTGCGTAGTCACTGCTTTTCATTTTCCAAAAACAACAAATTCAGATTTAGATACAACAAGATACAGCACAGTTATTCTTCTGATCACACTCTTGCACTCCAGGCTTTTCTTAATCCATATGATTAAACAGAAGCTGTTATGTAATTTGTCCCCACAGCTGCGGTTTGGATCTGAGCAACAGGAAGTTAGTGACAGCTGTTGAGTCAAGACCAAGGGTTTTGTTGGTGTCACCCAGCCAACAAAACCCTTGTTTTACTTGTCAGCAAATAAATATATATATTTAATTGTTAGCATATCAAAGTTGATCTAAGTTTGAAAAAATTTTTAATTGGTTGGAGGAGGTGTGATGCTGTGGGCCTGTTTAAGACTTCTTAAAAAGCATAATTTCATAAACATTTTGAAATATCATGAAATTTTAAATTCAGATCTAATGATCTCAGGTCACATCCCACTAAAATAAATGTCCAACACATGTGGCCAGTTCAATATGGAAATTAAATCTTCCATGGTCATCTCTGTCCTTTACACACAGTATTAGTATTTGCTTTTCCATTTCAGTGTGAGTATTCTGCTGGAAGCAGGCTTTATACTGCCTTGTTTTTTTACACTACATCTCCTCAAGTTAGTTAGGAATACCAACGAACTTGTCAGCATTAGTAAAACTTGCTCAGTCTGTTTTTCATGACTCTGTTTTTTCAATCCACACACATTCCAGTAATATGGCTGATCCTGGATGAACCATCATCTGATGTAGCTCTGCTTATTTACCTTAAATTTTTTTGCCTCTCTCTATTTGAAGATAATCCAGCTGCACAAAAGAGTTTTCTGAAACTCTTGTTTGCAGTTTTTCTAAAATGGGTTGTAACTTGAGAGTAGCAGATTTTTACCGTGCCACAAATTTGCTCTCCAAAGGCTTGGTAGGATGCGTGAATCCTTTCTTGCACACATGAGATGGCGGGCTAGAAGGACATGGTGTACTGTCAGATACAATAAGATAAAGTGAAAGGTGCACAGAGTTGTGGATGTATCTGAAAGATACTCTGGCAGAGTGACATTTGCTTCTTCCACTCAAAATTAAACATTGATCCCTCATCTCTTTTTGCTCCGAAGGTTTATGATCTCCAAGTTCAGTTTATTTTATCTGTTATCTGTTAAAGTGGGAAGGGAGTGAGTGAATCTTCAGTCAGATAACAAAGGTTGGATATTATCTCAGAAGCTGAAAGATATTTGTGCTTTCTTACTTCAGCTTACTCTAAATCTAAGCCATTTGAAAGGAAGCACAACATGTGGTGACTTGTGTGCAGATAATTCTGGCTGCGGTTCGGTGAGAGAGCACAAGACTTTTAGTGGCTCTGTCTTGTAAAAAGGTGGATTTGGAAACATTGCGAGTGTTCTGGAAATCGAAAGTCACAGTTATGACCTTCAATCTCTACAATATACAATGGGGGCAATGATGTTTGTAATTGCTCATATAACTTCATAAAGTCAGTTTAGGATGTCAACTCAGTCATTTTATCTTAATTTTAAAATATAATTAACCCTTTTTTTACAGCTGTTCTCTCTGATTCACGCAGTGTGACCTCACCTCTGATCTGCCGTATTAAAATCATATTTTTTATAGCTGTTCTAGTATTGTCATCTATTGTAATAGAAAGAAACTAATTGGCTAACATTAATGTTGATTGCCCAGAGCTAAAAACAAAAAAAACAACAACAAAAAAAACAAAGAACGTATTATTATTATTTATTTGGGAAACGCCCGAACAACTAATTGTTTGCTCTCTCCTTAAAATAAGTGTCTTTAAAACTGCATTTAAAACTGTTTATTTATTTTACAAAAGCTTTTTTTCATTTCTGCTTTCCTTGTTAAGCGTACCAGCTTGTCAGTGAACCTCAGCAACTAACTTTTGGCCATCCCTGGGTAAAAATATTTTGTTCTCCTTCACACATAATAAGGGCATAACAGATTATATTTACATGACTTGAACACAATCACTGGTATTGCTTTTGCAGCTTTGGTTACACGCTTTGAGCTTTTGTTTCTGTCTCTGTCTCTGTCTGAGAGACAGAAACATTCTCTCCTGAATGTCAGGATGTTAACTGATTGCTCAGTTAATTGGTTGGAGCATGATATGGTGCCCAAATAGCCATGAAGCAGACATTTTGCAGCAAATAACTGGAAACCAGGATTGCATAGAAATCACTTCCAGGCAGTTTTGGAATGTGTGACTTTGGAATGTGTGACTTCTGGGAAGTCTCTGTATGCACAAAAGCTAAGAAAACTCTACAACAATTTGAAAACATTGGAGTTAACACTAATAAATGCAACTTTTTCATTCTTGTTCAGGCAGGGAGAATGCCTGTGAGAAAACATCCTACATGTTCCTGCGTAAGGAGCTGCCGGTACGGCTGGCCAACACCATGAGAGAGGTCAACCTGCTGCCTGACAAGCTGCTCAGCCAGCCGTCTGTCAAACTTGTCCAGAAGTGGTAATGTCTTCTTTTGTCTTCTTTTTGGGTCGGTTCCAGGCAACAAAGTTTATGATCTGCAGGGTGTGAAAGTTGACTTTTGGTCTCCGTTTGACGTGATCAGGTACATCCAGAGCTTCATGGAGCTGCTGAATTTCGAGAACAGGAAGGCAGAGGACCCTCACACTCTGAATGAGTGAGTGAATATTGACTTTGTGATTAAAAACCTAAAGAATGCATTAACAGTTTGTTCAGCTTTCAGCGAATCTAGAAGCAGCAGTTGAAACATTGACTCTGTGCTCATATATCTGTGCTGACTGTGTCCCTTACTGTGTGTGCGTTGGTGTATTGATATCATAACAATACCCCTTCTGATAAACAGCCACACATGACTGATAAAAGCATGGTAAGGAATAAGGAGAGGCTTGACTGAATTATGAACTTAACTCCAAGAGTGGCTTGTTGACAATGTCTCAGCAGAAACACTAAGAAGGAAAAAAACCCTGGGGGAAGGCAAGTGCCAGCCTTCCCCCAGGGTTTTTTTTCTTCTTTTGAGTTTGATTATCTTCTCATAAAGTCATATTTGACGAATCTAAATGGTTCTGGATTCTAAAATTAAAAAAGTAGTTTTACTCATTACATTATACACAGGCTTCAGTGGATTTAAAAAAAAATTCCAAATAGTCTTGAACCCCTAAATAAAATCTAATTCATCAGACTTTTATTACATAAAACAAAAAAGCCTGGATACCCACGGTACCGGAATTTGTAGGCAAACAAAAATCTGCCCTTTTATTCCAGTGTGGTAATTGATGGAGGAAGTCCTACTTCCATACTTTGAGTTTTATCATTTTTGCATCCATAAAATCCCATTCCAAAACACCAGAGTTTGGTTTCAATGTAGCAAAACATGGAAAAAGTCAGAGCTGATGAGGGGTTCACTCTATCTTCTTTCATTCTCGTTTAGTTTCCTGGAAATCTTGATTGACATCCGAAACCGCCACAACGACGTCGTGCCCACCATGGCTCAGGGCGTCATCGAGTACAAGGAGAAGTTTGGCTTTGACCCCTTCATCAGCAGCAACATCCAGTATTTTCTCGACCGCTTTTACACCAACCGCATCTCTTTCCGCATGCTCATCAACCAGCACAGTGAGTCTCACGCTCGCTTCGGCGTCACGTCCTCGTTTGGTCCGTCTCTGCAGCCGAAGCTGGATTTCTGCTTTGTGTTTGTGTTCAGCTCTGCTGTTCGGTAACGACACCAACCCCGCCCATCCCAAACACATCGGCAGCATTGATCCCAACTGCAGTGTGGCTGAAGTTGTTAGTGGTGAGTTCAAGAACTGTGTTTTTCTTTTGTTTGTTTGTTTTTTGTTTACTTAACCAAGGCCAACATGCCCTTGAACAGTTTCTTAAAATACAAAGAGTGTCTTCCATCCAACTTGTGGGCTAAATTAGGCTTTAATTACAGCCTATTATGGAAACATTATGTTCAAAAGCGTAGTAATGAAAGTTTTTTTTTTTTTTGATTGATTGATTACTTTGTTGTTTATTGTTCAGACTGCAAATTAACGGGTTTCCATCAATTACTGGTTTTATTTTCCAAAATCCATCCATACATATCAACCTAAAATTTCTCTTTTCAGCTCTTTACTCTTGTTTTTCTCTCAAGAACGGTGTTGTGTAGCTGTTTACAGGGTAAAAAAAAAAAAATACTCGCACAATGGCTCACTTCAGGCAATATAACGTGCTGTACCTCTAGGAAATTTCTTCCAGATGTGGTTGTAGAGAACAGAGTCCTCGCATGTAAAAAGCTCAGCAGAGCTGCGGATAGGATACAGGAGAGTACGGTTACGTGAGAAAGAGCTCTGCAGAAAAGAAAATAACAAACTTTCCACCAGGTGTGAACTTCACTCCCCTTTTTTCCATTTTCTCTTAAGTTTCTTTGCAGGTTGCAAGAGAAACAATGGGGACCCGGTCTGGTTAGTGTCGACTGTCGGCCCCCGTGGCAAATTATTCCAGCTTGTAAACTCTTTCTTGTTATTTCTAAAGTTGTTTTCTGGATGTTTATTTCAGGGAATATGACGACCAGAGCAGAAGCTGTCAGAACTAGGAATACGCTAGGATTATATTCTTTCCAAATCCCCTGGCATTACAGTGTAAATACAATAATCCACTGCTTTCCTCACTGCTGCTAGAAGAATATCTATAATTGTTTATTTGGAGTTGCAGTCACTGGAGATGCACCAATTAATCAATTTCCTCCTGATTTTTTTCCATTGATTAAATACATAAATACTGATGCATATTTTTTGAAACAGCCCAAGGGGCTTAAAAAAATTAAACACACTCAGCTGTTTTTTGGAGTCTAGAAAATGAGCCATTTCAAAAACCTCTGAAATATAATACCACAAATTAGCAGGAACTGACCCTCACCTAGCAACCCGAGCTGAGATGTTTAGTCAGCTGGTTTTCCCGCTGCATGCTCTGTACAATGGCTGTTGGAAAAGATGAGTGGTTTGTTGCTGACTTGCCATTCAGAAACCACTTGCTGCATTCTTGCTGGTTGTGCAGGCCCCTCTACTAAAGTTTTTTTTTAAAGGTGTACGGTTGTGTTTGGAGCCATTTTCACCTGCAATTGTAAACATTGAGTTGTGGGGCTTATTTGAATTTAAAGTGACAGGAGGCCCTAAAACAGCTCATTCTGGAAGGAGCTCAAAATGGACAGAGCTGAACAGACGAAAATCTCATAATCCAAGAATAATTTTGTGCAATGAAAAAAGTTATGAACATGTTTTATCTAGCCCATAGACCCACCTAACCTGTTCCAGGAAGCATAACAGGTGACCTTTGACCTCTGCTTTGTATATCAAACTGCTCTGCGGTTGTTTTTATAGTTATATCCATTTATAATCCACACAAATGCCAACAAGGCTCTGTGCCTTGCCTGAAGGGAAATCCAACCACCAGCCTCTCAATTATTCCAACCTGCTGCTCCACCTGAGCCACAGCTGCCTCTGGTTGTATCTGTTATCGCCTTTATTTTTCTTGGCCTGCAATCGGGGGGAGTGAAGAATGTGGCCTGACCTGAGCTTGTTTAAAAACATTTCTGTGCTTCCTGAGCATTTGGGATTTCTGGGAAATTAGTCGCTTCCTCCGTCACAGACATGCATACATCACCGATGGTTTCAAAACACATTTCATTAGCGTGGATCAAAGCTGCACTCTGAGTGAACCGTGAGCGGACAGAGAAAGCGGTAGTGACCCAAAACATGACTGCAAATATAAACAATGGACATTCAGCTGCTCTGTTCTCAGCCTTTTTTTTTGTTTTATTTTTATTTATTTATTTGCTCTCCTACTAGATGCCTATGACACTGCCAAGATGTTGTGTGAGAAGTACTACTTAGCTGCTCCCGAGCTCAAGATTGAGGAGTTCAACAGTAAGTGCATTACACCCTGCGCCTCTTTTAATCTGCCACGGAGATGTTGCACCAAAACATGTGTTTGGATGCTCTGAATTTAGCTCCATAGTGGTTAAAGTATTCACTCTGTCATTAACTTCCCAAGAAGCAGCTTTCTGTGTTCACTAAAGAGACTTTCTTTCTTTTTGTTTCCAGTGAAAGCTCCGAAGAAGCCCATCCAGGTGGTATATGTGCCCTCGCATCTGTTCCACATGTTGTTTGAGCTCTTCAAGGTGAGCAGAGCTGTTCTCTTTAAACGTAATGAATTGGCTGGATTTTCTGTAAAGATCCCTCTTCCCTCAAAAGCTCAGTTTATAGATGTGGCTGTTTGCAGAACTCCATGAGAGCAACAGTGGAGCTTCATGAAAACAGCAAGGAGGGGCTGCCGCCAGTGAAGGCGAGAGTCACTCTGGGCAAAGAGGATCTGTCGATAAAGGTAAACAGATCTGTGTTTGATGACACACGAGCTTTGTTCCCGCGTTTTTATCATCTCTAACTCTTCTGGTGTCTGTGTCAAGATCAGTGACAAAGGAGGAGGAGTTCCTCTGAGGAAGATAGACCGACTCTTTAACTACATGTACTCCACTGCCCCGACGCCCAGCCTGGAGCCAGGAGCCGTCCCATTGGTACACCCACTCTCAAATTCGGTTTTATGATGATCTAAATTAGCATTTAGATGGTAAGTTTGTTTTCCTTCTCTTTTCTCTATTCCAGGCTGGTTTTGGTTACGGTTTGCCGATTTCCCGGCTCTATGCTCGATACTTCCAGGGCGACCTGAAGCTCTACTCCATGGAGGGAGTGGGCACAGATGCTGTCATCTATCTGAAGGTAACATGGGTCAGCCAGATGTGCAGTACTAGTGTTTTTATTAATATGATTTAAGTAAACGGTTAGGAGTTTAGAGAATCTTTTGTTCAGTTTCCAAAAGAAAAAAAAATGGGGATGAAAGGATTTCTGGTGTTTTGTGTTTGCAACATCAATAACTGTTTGTCAGCCAGAAAAATATTAGAAAGCACAGAACTCTTAGAGAGTCTTGCTGCTTGTTCACCTTGCACTTGTAAGTTCATACAAGTGCAACAACGTATTCTGGCCACTAGGGGCAGTCTCCAACAGACTTTTTTTTTTTTTTTAAAGGAAGGTCTGGAATTTTGATAAACCTGTTTTCTAGGTAATATATTCATGTTATGAGCTTGATTTCACTTTTAGAGTTTGGAATTGTGTCTCCATTTTAAATATTATTAACTAATTATATATGTTTTTTAGACTGAAAGAGTTACTTCTAACACATTTTACTACTGATTCAGCTGAAACAATCGGCGATTCTTACATTGTTATTGAATTTTGACAAACTGGTATTTAGCACTGAGATTCAAACATTAGTTGAACTCTATTGGTTTATTGCACTGAATGTTATTGGTAAACGACTCACTTCTTAACTGGAATACAATTTGATATTTAATGTTAGCCATTCAAATTGTTTAAATTTAAACTTTATATTAATTTTAATTTTCATTGGACTGATGATTTACCTAATTTTTTCTGTGGGGCTTCATGCATTTCTTTTTGCTTTTTTGTGTTATTTATTTATTCAAGCATTTATTTGTTCCCTTTGAACTTTAGTTTGATCTTTCAAATCTATGTGTCCGCCTTTATTTGCACTTAAATAAAATAACTTGTGAACGCCGTGCATACCAACACATACCAAAAAGTTCACTGTAGCTCGTCTCTTTCAAGCTTCTTTCTAGTTCTTGACGGTGTTTTTTCAGTGAACTACTTCTGTTTTTCTCTCTTAAAGGCTCTGTCCAGTGAGTCCTTTGAACGCCTCCCTGTGTTCAACAAGTCAGCTTGGCGGCACTACAAGACCAGCCCCGAAGCGGACGACTGGAGCAACCCCAGCAAAGAGCCGCGTGATGCCAGCAAGTCCATATACAAAGCCAACAGATAACTCTGCATATCCTGCCAGCATAAATTGCTGCTTTCTGAGTGGAGCATGCACGCTGAAATGTTGCCCGTGGGTAAAAGCTTCGTTTTGGATGAGACTTGCTTTCACATTGCACTGGTGAAAGGTTTGTTAGGGTGTTGTGACCCGGATTTACATTTGCACCCAATTGCAATAACCTTCCTTAGCGTAGCTTTTGTTGTTGTGGCTCAGAACAGAGTGAAAAATTCTCAGTATTGTAGCTGCAGCGTATCGAACCCCAATTGTAAATTCTATCAATTTCATTGTTGAAGTTAAATTCACTGCAACACTCCTGTCTTTAACCTCTTGTCTCATGCCGTTTTCTGACCAAGCTGTTCCTCCCTCTGGCCAGACAAACCCGACTCTTTCTCGGCTTTAGAAAGACTTATTCTGTTTCTTTCTCTCATAACACAGTGCAATGTTTCAGTGCAATGAGAAGAGGAAGAGGTTTTTATTTGTGGTTTTCTTTGTGAAACACGTTTGATTAAATGCACCAGTAGGCTAGTTTGTTGTTAAAGTGGCAACTACTTGTTTTGATTGCACTTTTTAAGACTTTTAGTCAGGGTTAATTGTTAAAAAAGATATTTATAAATTAGAAACTAGATGCACCTTCTTGAAAAAAGAAAATGGAACAGGTAATGCTTCAAAGACATATTTGAAGTCATAACCTGTTTATATCTATGAAAGAAAGCCTTATTTTTTGGGAACTTACAATATGTTTGTTTTTGTTTTTTTTATAGCCATGCCTTCATGGTTCATGGTGTATTGGATTTTGAACAATGTTAAAGGGAGGCAATATAAATGAAAGTAGTCTAAAATATTGATTATATTTGACTTGCTTAGCTTCATTGTCTAAGATTACCCAGCCACAAATGAGCATTACTTAAAAGTAATAACGCTCATCAGACACTACTGCTTCCAACCCTGATTAACTAAAAGTACCAAACGAGTCATATATGTATAAGACATTGTCTTACGCGCCATTCCAGCATTGTGCGCCGAGTAGCTTTCCCAAAACCAGCAATATGTAATGTACCAATGTTTATAGGAACGAATGGACCTGTAGCACCTGAACAACGGACGCTGTTCTGCTTGTCATCATTTCATGCTGCTGTGGAGGATAAACCACAGGCTCACTGCTTTGTGTGCTTTTGGCATCATCTGATTGGCCTTGTGTTTCACTTGAATTCCTGCTGATCCCTGCAGTCTTCTGAATGAGTTTGAACAAAGTTTGTAAATGTAATTTTGCATTTTCTTATGCTGAGTTAAAGTGAACTAGATGTTGCAGTTGTTTACGTTTTTGATATTTTGGTGATAATTTGAACATTTAGTTTATGTTTTGTTGTTTTAAAAAAAAGTTATTTAAGAAAAAGGAAAAAAACATCACACGGCACATAAAGATCACTGTTTGGAGAGGCAGTAAGAGGAAATATGTCCAAAGAAAAGACTCTGGATTGTGAAATATCTCATCTAATTTGTCATGCAGACTCAAACCATCTTAAAACAATATAAGTTGCATAAAAAAATTACAGCACCGTAATGTTTTCATTCGGTGTTTATGATTGCAGAAACGAATATTTTCACAGAAAATTTAGGTTGGAGTTTTGCATCACCAGTTCTGTTCCTATGGGAAACATGCTGAGAGCAGAGCTTACAAAGCTCTTACAGTCAGTATATCTGCTTAATATAAAAGTAAAGCAGTATAAAAATAACAATAATAAAAACATCCACTTTTTCTTACACGGTTCCCGCAAATAGTTAAAATTCATGAGTGTTTTGTACAGCTTTGAAAATGCTTTTAACTGCCTATTTTAATAGTTCAGACATCAAATTCTTGTATGGATAGATTTGAACAGTGGAAACAATCTTAGGACTACAGCAGAAGCTAACATTTGTCAATCAACAAGAAAAAGGAAAGGCTCTCCAGGATTGGTTGCTTTCCAAACTTTACTCAAAAGTTCCACAGAAAAATCTGCAAATATTGAACATTCCTTTGCATATCGAAAAATGCTTTACATGTTCCCCTCTTCGAGTGCGTTCGCACAGGAAGGTGGTTGCAAACATGGCGATGTTTTTCAGGCACATAAAGTATCATTTGTATTTTAGTGACTGAAGTTCTTTTGAGACCCCCTTTGGAATCGCCACCATTCAGCCTCTGGGACAAAGTCAATCTGTCTTCATACAAACAAAGAGAGTCCTACTGAGCTTAAAATTTTACCTCTTTACAGAACACAAGTTCAACGGTTCTGAACTAACTACTCGAAAAGAAGATTGTGGGAAATTCCATCAGTCCGAAGTAGTTTCCTTCTTTCATCTCCTTTAGCGTCACCTGAAGTAAAATAAAAGAAGAATGCAGTGTTGGAAAACCTTCCACCTCCTGTAGATGCTCCACATTTCACCACTGCCAATACCTTTGAAACCTGCCAGTCAAACCAAAGGACACTTAATCACACACCTGCTGTAAAAAAAAAAGTCAAAAAGTGCTATGTTATTGAATAGCAGTAAATGTGTGGGTAAATGTTTGCTCTCCCTTTAGAACGGTCCTAAGAAAATGTACTTTTTGACTCAAAACAAGACGCCGCAACACAGAAGATCCTCCATTTTCTTGCTCGGTTGTTGTGAACCTCTGCTGTCATCAAAACATCCACTTGATCTGTTTCAAAGAATACAATACATATAAAGCAGATAAACCTAACGTGTAAGCTGTACATATAGTGTATGGATTGATCACTGTGTTTTTCATCCTCCTGTACAAATTGCTTAAATGATATATTTGTATGCAAGATAGACCAATAACGCCACATTCACCTGGAAGTGACAGTAAACTCATCTTGTCAGTCAGCATGAGATCAACAGTAGAAACTATCAAACCTGACAATAAAGAAAACTCTTGTGTGGTCCGTCTGTCTTGTTTGTTTTTTTGCTGTAATGTAAGAAAGACAAGTCTGGCAGTATACTTTCTGATCTAGATCTTTATTAACTCGTGAAGCCTTTTGAACAATGGTGACTTAAAAAAAAAAGACAATTTCAAAGTTTTTACATATAGTGGAGACTAACATGTGCATACAGGACATATAATGTGTCTATGTTGCTTTAAAGTTCTAATTTAGTTGGGGATGGAAGCTCATCTGCACTGAGCTGGTATGGGCAAGCAGACCTGAGATAAACAGATATTATGCAAGTTTCTAAAGGTAGATACATGGTGAGTTTTACTTTTTTTTTTTTTTAACACAATTCAAGTATCGTCTGTTTTTCTATGGACAGCTGACATCAATATATTCAAAGACTAAAAGAATGCATGGTGCAATAAATTATACAGATGCAGACAATCTGGTTGGCACCCCTAGAAAAGATGCTTAAAAAGTCTCAAAGTAAAATAATTTATTATAGCAGTGTGATGTCATATTTAAAGACTTTGTTTTGACATTGTTTTCAACAAAACACCCAGAGGCACAATTTGTGATATTGACAATAATTTCTTTAAAATAATAGCAACCAAGGAAGGAGGATTTTTTTTTGAATTTATGCAATACTTTAAAAAAAAAGTTTCTGTGAGTTTTTGTTTCCTTTAAGCATAAATATGGCATGAGACACATGCCTATATCTCTACGCCACTAGGATGAGAGCATTTGTCTTGCTATCAGGTACAACAAAACTAACATTGATCTTCTCTGTAAAAAGGATTGGCTTCAAGGATAAATACACTGAAGAACATCTCGCTCACTGGAGGATAAGCCAAAAATAAACAGCCAAATCAATACAGAAATGGTTCCCCAGACACAAAAACATTCTTCTTTCATTCCCATTTTCAGTGTTTGACTGTATGACCCACAGGAAACCATTGGAGGAGAGAGATCCATAAGAACGTCATGGAGAACCCCAGGACTCTGGGTACGAAGATTGTGCAAAGAGGTACTGTGCCAGACATTGTTTTGTTGAAAAACAATATTTTTAACACAAAATTTGCTCTTTTACTGAAGAAATAATAGTCAAATTAGAGGTTGGATCATTCAGCTTTTTTTTTCATTATGAATTTAAGCTTTTGCATATTAGGACTTTTGATTCATCTTTACCAGTGGTGTCATCAAATTTGTGAATGTGAATTTTGATTTGAATAATAATTAAAAAGTACTTTAAAAAAAGCAAAAGGATCTTATTAGTACAGCTTGAACTGTTTCTTGGGGGGGTATTATATAAATAAAAATGGTCCAAACTAGCATTTGTGATGTGTTTTGTGTTGCCCGTTGTATCTGTTCTGCTATTCTAAGCTCTAAGTTTGGGGGTTTCTAGAGTGAAACTTATGGAAGGATGGCATCTTACAAAGTAAGGACAAAAAGCAGGACAAGAAACAACCCAGTGATATTATAAGTAGGTTGATTGAGTGTCTGTATTAGTCCTGGACAATCCAAAGCAAGTCCTCTTCACAGATATTGCACAGGATTCCTGTCCTTGTAGAAAATAGAGTCATTAAATACATCGAACAAATCCACATCCTAGTCTTCGCATCTCACCCTTTTTTTTTATCTGCTTGGCTCTCCAGAGAACGATGGCTTTTTTATTAGCTCCACGGGTTCGGACCACAGTTCCCCTGATCAATGTCAGCATTGCAAATCTGCAACGTCTTTGAGGAAACCTGGTTCTGTTGTTTTGTTTTGTTCCTGTTTGGTGAGGTGTTCCCAGGCAGTGTACCATGAAGTGAAACGTTTCTGTCTGAATCCATCTACTTCTCGTCTTCGTCGCCTTCGCTCATGCTGCTCATCGAGGCCGATGCGCCTTTGGGGGAGGCGGGGGGCGAGGGCCGGGCGTTGTACCAGCGGGCGGGGGGCGACGGAGGGGACGGGGAGCGCAGCGGGGACAGTTCACGCGGGGGGCTGTTGCAGGGCGATTCTCTGGGCGACAGAGCGTAGGACAGCATCCGACCACTGCGCTCCTGAAATACTTGTTTCTATTCAACAGCAAAAGAAGAAGAAGAAAATGAAGGTTTGTATGTGTGTTGCTTGTGATTTGCAGTGCAGTTTCTAAACCCAAAGACCTGGAAACAAATTCTGATGAGTAAACACAACAGGATGGATGTTATAAAAAATGAAAACACTCCCCCTGGCTTCTTTTTCCGATCCTTGCTTGTTAAAATTCCACCTAAATCACTGGTGAACCGCAATCGGTCCTTAAGGGCTGGTGTCCTGCATGCTTTCGTTTTTCCCCCCTGGTTTAACATGCCTGGATCAAAAGACTGGTTCATTAGTTTGCTCCTGCAGAGCTTGATGAAACGTACAAGTCATAATTCAGCTATCATGGAGCAGGAACCTTGAGGACTGCCTTTTGACGCCTATGACGACTTACTGATGTTTAATTTTGTCCACCTGAAAGGTCACAATTTGAGTTGCAAAGGTTAAGGCTAAGACAAAGAGGAGGAGGCAGAACTCTTGCTTGTCAGGAGGATTGTTGTTTGACAGCACAGATGTAGTTTTAGGTATGTTGGTGGTATGAAATAGGATAAAGTTGCCTGATGCAATCAAAACTGAAAGACAAAAAAAAACTCTTGAAAAGAAAAATATGGGAAAAATTTAACTCAGAGGGTTACATACACTAAGAATGCCTGTCAACAACTTGGAAGAGCTCAGTCTATAATACTGGGTTTCTTAAACTGAATTAAGTTAAATAGAGGAAAATGTGTGTATGTGTTTCACAGGAAAATCACAAACACACTGCTTCCTTCATGGAAAACAAAATATGACTCAGTGAATGCAACAGGGGAAAAAAACTGTTGACATTCGCAAGTCTGATTCATCCAGAAAAGACAGAGAATCATCCATTGAAAAAGAATTAGGTGCAAGTTTAAACCATTCAGGAATGGCTGAGGAAAGATGTGCAAGATGTGCGTATGAACTGAAACAGTAGATCTCATGAATGTCCCGGCTGAAGCGGGCAAGAAACTGGCAGAAAGTTGATCAAATGTATCTTCCAAACGGACTATGATCCTAAGCATAGCACCATATAAAACACAAAGTGGCCTAAGGAAAACAAAGCCAATGTTTTGTCAATGTGTGGTAACAACTGTAATTTTTACACATCTTCATCTGTCAGCGAATATTAAAGCAAATAGCAGTGTCTAAATTCTGTCATTTTCACTAAATTCAATACACAACAGTAAAAAGATCAATTTAAAAAAGTTTTAAGCTTCTTGACGGGAGACTTGAATTATGATGAACCATTAATGTGGTGGATGTCTGCCTCCCACGTTTGTGGCATTATAATTGAGCACCATGCTTGACTTACCCAGGTCCCATCAGGTCCAAAAAGTTCTAAGAAGTTGCCAATGAATTCTCTAGACTTTTCTTCCCATTTCTGGATGAGATCGTGACTCTTCTCCTCCACACGGTAAACAAAATGTTTACTCTTTTCTTCGACGTTTCGAACCTTTTCCTTCATGCGATCTACCTGGTTCTGTAGCCGATACTTCTTCTCCTGAGAGGATTTAAAAAATGAGGAAAAAATTCAGAAAAAATTGTTATAAAAGTGACAAAAAACAATGCTTGAGGAGTACCAAAGTGTTCAAAATCTAATCTAAAATAATAAGTAAAAGTTCTAGTCAGGTGACCAGAACTTGCTTTGTCTGCAGCGAATTAAGATTTGGCCGTTGCAATGTCTTACGTTGATGTAGCTGACGTTGAGCTCTTTAGCTGTGTAGCCGCGCTGCAGGTTGCGTCGGGCGTAGACATCATAGTCTCTGACGATTCTAGTAATTATGTCAGAGGTGGAGATCCCCTCCGTCCGTTGCGTGGGCACGAACATCCCTGGTTAATAGTAAAAGATACCAGCAGAAGGTGATTTCTGATCCTCATTTAGTGGCGAAATCTGCGACATGATTTTCTGATTCCACACAGACCACCGCCCGACCTGCTTCTTTGATGTGTTTGTAAACGTCCTCAGATCCTGCTGAGGAGTACGGGATATCATCATGAGCCACAAAATCGATCTGAGAAACAACCAAAGGACATGTACTGTTTGGCAGAAATAAATAACAAATAAATAAATAAAAATAAAACATGAGAAGAGCTTAAGGGAACATGCAGTAGGGCCTTTAAGTTCCTATTCACAGTTCAATGCTTTTTATTTGGGTTTTTGTGAGATACATCAACTCAGAGTAGTGCATCCTATTTATTCTACCCCCCCTTACTCGATAACATCCAGTCCAACTCGTTTCATTCAGAAATTAGATGGTAAAATAAACAAAGGTCAATGTTTGGTCACATCATTTCAACATAAACTGCATTTGTGGTGAGTCAACTTTTTTTCGTGTCGTTTTTGTTGGTACTTGGATGTTCCTCGCAAACACACCTTGTGTTTCTCCAGGAACTCCGGCGTGAGAGTCCACGGTGCATCTCTCAGGACTTCGTCCACGTAGCGGCAATGCCTCAGGGCTTCATAGCGCTCGTGTTCCGTCATGACCGTGAAACCCTTGTACTTGTGGGTCAGTTCGTCGCTGCACACTGTTCCGGGAGCAATGGAGAGAAAGCACATGAGCACAGACAGAAACATCAAACGCTAATGAAAGAGTTTGGAAGCGTTAGCCTCGGTAGCCTCTCTTACCTCCTACTATGAGATAGGTGTTTGGAAACAAGTTCTTGGCCTGCATAAGCGCACGAGCGTGGCCCGAGTGGAACAGGTCAAAGATGCCATCTGCGTAGACTCTGACCGGCCGGTCCACTGGGAAAAAAAAACAATACAGCTACGGTCAGCGCCATAAGTTAATTGGTGTAATGTTCAGAAAAACTGAGAAGAGGAAACAATTGGAGTTATGAGAAGATCAGTATGGTTATACATCATATAACTGATGTGGCTATATCAGTATAAATGTGGTTATACTGATATTATTTACAAATGATTTATTATTTCATGCTCTTACTTACGTTGTTTTAACTGCACTCAATTAAATAACTAATAAAGAATAATTATATTCATGGGACCAATTAATTTGGTCCCATGAACATAAATTTGTATTTTAGAGGTAAAATACAAATTCTAAAAGAGATAAAAATGGAAGCTACGAATGGAAAGGAATACAGATTTGGAAATATTTACGGCGGTAAAAAAATAGTCGTGGAAACTAAATCATTCAAGTCTGTGGTTGTAATGTGAGAAGATATGAAAAAGTTACAGAGATTTGAATGGATTGGCACTCACTACGAATGCAAGGGATTCAGACAAAGCTTGTAGAACATGACTTTCAAAATAGGGGCGGAAATCAAACAAAGACAAAGTGAAGAATGAGGATAAAAGCAGCATGAAGGTGAACATGGACCTGGGGTGCCTCTGCGGGCCTGCGTGATGCTGAGCTTCTCGTGAGGCGCTCGACAGTCGCAGCTGGTCTCCGAGGCGAAGATGGCAGGCTCGGTGAGAGTCTGAGTCAGAAAGGGACTGGGTTAAAGGAAGGCCCTGGAGAACAACCATTTTCCCCTTCCCTCACCACTTACTCAAACCACCATCAAGGTATTGACTACAGCTGATGCTCACTCTGCACTCTGAGACAGCAGAGACAGAAAGAGCTGCACTCAGTGCAATTGATCACTGACTTTCACCTCTGTCTGCAATCAACTGCAGGTATTGAACATGGCAAGAGGACAAAAGTCTTGGTAAGCGTGGCGCTGAAGGGAGACGTGAACTCTCTCCCTCTCTGAAAGAAAATGAAAACCAGGGAGCACAGATGAACAAATTAGACACGGGATATGCTAATTTGTAAGTGCCAAGAAGACTACTATCAAGGTCAAAACGCTGCAATGTGAGCCCTCCTTAAAAAAAACAACAACAAAAAAAAACAACTGCGTGTGTGTGCCATCTGTTGACTGCAGGGGAGTATTCACCAAATCTCATTCTCATCTGTGAAAGAGAGACAGAACAGAGCAGAAAACTGTGGGAGTGTGAGAGGAGGAAGAGAACATGAAAACAGGTTCAGCCAGGCCCCTGACGTCAGCGCCTCCTCCAGGAGTAAGTCAAGGAGCACGATGGCGGGTTTCGGGTAAAGAGGCGATCAGTTGGGGGTTTTCCATAGACCTTCAGTCGCACAGAAGCTTCGAGGTGGTTCTAGACACGAGCATTTTGCAAGAAACGCAGAAACACTAGCTTGTTATTAAATTTGTGGATGATACAGTTAAAAATGTCAGAGTAAGCCAAAGATATGGGCTGCAGTTTGGACGCAGCTGTTGTTGTGCAGTAATTAAACAAGCAAAAATAATTACGACACCACATGGAAATATAGAATTCATTGCTTTTACAGTAATACAGGTGCAAAGCTTGTTTACGCTTGTTTTGTGCATCCTTGCTCTGCTTTATGTAATTAGAGCATTTTTGGAGATGCAGAACCCCCTGTTAGTACTTAGTAGAAAGTAATAACTCTGCTTTCAGTACTTTCTACAACCTCCAATAGAACTCCGCTTTCACATTGCTATAATATTTCAGTAGTTTGGAGGATTCTTCTTTGCACAAACTCTTTAGATTCTCCAAAGTCCTGGCTCGTTTTTCACGCCACAGGTTTTCTATTAGGTCTGGAAAGCATGATGGACAAAGAAGGAGACTGATTTCTGTGTTGATTTGACTGCATGTTTAATTGAAAATGAGTTTTCTCTTTTCTAGTCAAAACCCATAGATTTTATATAAAAATAGTCCAAAAAAAAAGATAAATATCCCGATAGTCCAAAAAAAAAAAGAAAAAAAGAAAAGAAATCGCATCGATTGCGCTCTGTTGACACATCCTATTTAGCAAATGAAGGGAATGAAGTTCAACTTCTGTTTTATCTCTGACCAAACTTGAGATTTCATTCCCAAAAAGCTCTATCAGCCATTCCAGTTAAAATCCTTTTATGATGGTAGAAGAGTAGAAAATAAAAACATAAATCCGATGCCATAAAAATATGGGTGCTTATAAATGTTGCAGGACTGATTATTTTACTTTTTGAAACACATAATGTACCCGATTAGGTCCAAAGGGTAGAATTTTGTGGACTGTGCTCCACCAACGGACGACACATTTGGCTTGAAGCTTTTTCTTCCAACATTTTGCTGTATGTCATCTAAACAGGAAAACTCGTAGCTCAGACAGCACCAGCTACAAAAATCCCTTCAGGAAGATGCCTCATCACTCCTGATTCCGTGGGCATGGTGAGATTATTGAGAGTTATCAAAGAGCAGATGGCCAAGGTTAAACTTTGTGATCAGGGGAGTACAACGGCCTATCAGGGCGTGCGGCTGGAGCGTGCTCAGTACAAAGCCCGATCTGACACAAGATACAGCATCTGGCCTAAGAAGGATTAAAGCGGCAGGAAAAAAAAAAAAGGACACAAGCCAATAGCCATTGCATGCAAGAGAGACTGCCTTAAAGAAAACAGGCTGAGGCAAAGAAGAAATCGGTAAATGACGACTAGGGGAGACAAAAGGGCTGACAGCATGATTTGTGTCAGAGAGGATTAAAGCGGAGTATCCCAACGCAGGAGGCTCTGTGATTTCACTGCGACAGTTCTCACTCAGCAGGACGTTTCTCTTCCTTTGGCAGCCCCCTCAACAACAACAACACAGTCCACTCAGCACTCTGAGCATCTCTCTCAAGCACATGCAATCCAGGATCTGTTTCATAACAGGAGGCAGAGGAGGAAGCTTTTGTTTCCCACCTACTTCCTGTCTTCCTTTCTCACACACACACTCACACACACACACACACGCACACAGTCAGTAAACACACTAATCTCACAGAAAGGCAAGCAAACAGCCGTGCACAGCTTCCCTACCGTCCGGGGATGAGGGCAAGTGTGTTCTAGCTCCTCCATTATTCCCAAAGTCTCATGGGATGCGGCTGATTTCTCTCTGTTTTGTGACTCAGCATCAATGAGGAGATGCTGCTCTCCTCACCACTCTGTCTCCTCTATTTTCCCCGCCCACTCTCTCCTCTGTCTGTCTCCCTCTCCCTCCTTCTTGCCCTTCTTCCCACAGGGTGCAGTCCTTCACAGTTAGCCGGGGAAAGACCTGGCTGAAAGCGATGCGGAATCAAAGTGAGGGGAGTTTCTTATTTTTATTTCTTAAGAAGACACTCTCCACAAGAGATTTATGTAAGATATGCATCGTATTGCTGTAAATACTTAATAATATAAGCTTTCACAATAAGTAAAGACTAAAAAAAGCACAAAAAATTTATAAAAATAATAATTTTAAAACACATTAATAATAATAATAATAATAATAATAATAATAATAATAATAATAATAATAATAATAATAATACAAACATCTCACAAGCATTTCTATGACTCACATGGTCGAAATCGTTTTCTTGCCCATTGGGTCTGTATGGCGCATCATGTGTACAGAATGTGCCGACCACGAATACACGGCGCGTCGATTGCTTCTCCGGTTGATAAATAGGGCGCACCCACTGTAACCCCGAAGCTGCTGCAGACAGAGACGCATGGAAGAGGTCTCACTCCGTGGCTATTTCTAATATCAACCTGCCTGAGAGTAAAATTTTGATATTTAAAGAGAATGGTAAAAAAATATATTAATCAGAGCTACAATAATTTCAAGATACCCCAACAGTCACAACTTCACAACACTGCGTTATGCTTTTCATATGAGATATTAGGTAAATAATGTGAGTGAGCGTCTGTCTAAGGAGACCATCTGGACCATTTCTATGGCGACGGAGGAGACTGGCGCGAGCTCCCAAATTCGGACCAATCATCGCCCACCTTGGCAACATATACTGCGGTGATTGGTGGACGAAACTGTTTCACCGTTACAAACAAAACAGGAGGCAGAGCATGAATACTAAATATTTAGGTCAAATGTTCAATACATATAGAACTAACTATAAACTTACTTACGTTATAAACTATATTAAACTCCGACTTCCCTGCCAAAACCAGTAAAAAACCAGGTAAAACAGTTTATTCCAGTTTTACTTAAACGTGGAAAATGCGTCAAACTCGTCAAACTGTTAGCTAAAAAAGATTAGTGAATTTTAAAAAAAATCTTCCAGTCATTGTTTTAACCTTATTTTACCTTCCACGATCCTCTTCTGCAACAAAGAGGAGTAACAGCCGCGCAGCGGGGGTTCACTCTGCCGCGGCGCTGTTTCACCATCCTGCTCCTGTGGTAGATTGAAATAAGTGAGCTCTGTCCTCTTTTTCTTATGCATTTATTTATTTGAATTGATCAGTTTTGCTCCTGTACAGCAGGAAAAAATACGTCCCTCCCTGTCCAGCCCGTCCCAGACACAGATCAGCTGCTCGCCACTGATAAGTGTGGGCCACAGTCCACACAGCGCCACATGCAATAGATAATCCGGCTGTCAGACATGCACGAATCCTCCTCCTACTGTAGTTAACATGCAACTGCTTTCAACTATTAATGCATATGAGACGCACAGATTCATCTTAATAGGGTATCCTTGAAAAGTGTTTTTTTTTTTGTTTTCCTCTTTCTTGTAATTCAATTCAAAAGTGGTGCTGTGATGAAATATTGTAAAATATACATGGTTATATAAATGGTTATATCCCTGGTTATCAGAGCAATTATATCAATATATGTAAATATAAATAACTATATATTGGTAAGGAAACTGGAGAGAAGTAATGCTTTGTTAAGTTAAACTGCATGGAAAAAAGCAACAACAGATATGAGATAGAAAGTCAAACGTATCATTTCTTTAAAAATACTATGGCTAAAAAGATGATGAGCATATTGTTCTTTCTAAACACTCCCACACTAATACGTGTATCAAATATTGTTGTGTGTAACTTTTAGATAAGCTGTGAAACACAGTACTACAGATGGTGACGGTGCTTACGCAGAAAGCTTAAGTGAACAGCTTGAATAAGACAAACTGGGCTTTGTGTTCTCATTATTGCTTATATTGTGGTTCCTCTGTGGCCCCAGTCTGGGACAGGAATCTATTGTGCCCTGTACAGCCCGGCTTCGTTTCTGTGGCAACGGACATCATGGAGGTACAGTGACACAGACACTAAAAGCTGGAGAACAATAGCCTGAAGTTGTCGTCACAAATGGTATGTGAAGAAAGGCATATTTTCCTTCGTTTACACTGGATAAAATTACACGAAATAGACTAGACAGCGAGATTGTAAAAGGTAAAGATTTAATTAATTTTACTTTAAAATATTTTCTCTTTTAAATCAATTACAGTGGTACCTTTAAACAGCATACAAAACTTTTCCTCTTAACTAACTTGTTTACTTTGGCAAAATAGAGAAGGGGGAGTTATGATTAGCTTTTCAACTGAATGAAAAGCCTTTCTGATTGAATCAAAAGAGGAACATTTTCTCTTTCCATTTCTTAAACAAATACAATTTTTTAAAAAATAATATCTTTAGATGTTTGGATGTTGGGCGTAGCTGCATTTTAATACAATGATATTAAATGCTAGTGAATTTCCCATAAATAACACACAGTGAAACCGTTTTACAATTTGTGGCTGCATTTAGATAGACCAATGTCGCCCCCTTCTGGCCACATTATAAAATGCATTTCCGGTAATTGACTAGCAGCAGCGTGACGTCATTTCCTGCATATGACTTTCCCCGGGAAGGCGCTTTGGCGCGGGTTGTTGTGTTGTTGTGCTGCTGTCTTTCAGCTGTCGAAATAAAGACCAAATAACAGAAGTAATGGCTCCGGTTGCAGACCCAGATAAAGACATGGACGTTCCGGACGGCGGTGAGTTTGTGTTTCCGGTTTTGCACAGCTGCTTGTTTAGGCGTTAAAAATGAAATGATTAGCTAACACGATGGCTAGCTCAGTTTAACGCCTGCTAACAGGCTTTGGCGTAGAGTACTGCTTGTGTCTTTACGACAGGATTAGATGGATTCAAATTAGTGAATCTGATAAAAAGAGGAAAATTAACAATTAGGATACTTCAGAAGGTACTATTGGCCCACATAAGGACACAGACTCAGCGTCATTGTTCGTTTCAGCCTTATTACAACTTTACTTCCAAAAGATTTTTAACACAATGTGTCCATCCATTCGCTGCTAATCAAATTCACCTTGCTGGTTAGCGAGTCATTAAAAAATGTGTCATAAAAACTTCTACTAAGGTTGACAATAAGAAATTCCTTTAGTGTGAAACACACAGCTGTGCTTCCATACAATGCCAATCAGAAAGGTCACCTTAAAGTGCAATTGTAGCTACATGTAGGGATCATAAGACTATTTGCAAACATTTTGTAAATGTTAATTTAGGGTTCTTTTTAAGGGGTTTTTTTGACAGTTTTGTTGTTGAAACTCACCACTAACTTAATCCACATCAGAATAAAAATATACTGTGACTGTTTTTATTCATGAAAATGTAGAGTTCTAGAATTTTATTTCGAATTGAGTGTAAATGTAGAAGAATTGGAATATTATATATATATATATATATATATATATATATATATATATATATATATATATATTATATATATATATATATATAAATAAAAGCATTGTGTGACTTTCCTCAGATGAGAAGGTCGATGCCTGCGGTCTGGCCAAGTCTCGCTCCAGACGAGAGAAGCGGGAGAAGGTGGGCAGGAAGTCTGCGCTGGAGCAGCTCAAGAAGGCCAAAAAGGGGGAAAAGATCAAATATGAGGTGATAAAGACATTCTGTTTCAGTTTTGCTTGTGAAGATTCTTTATGTAATTCATAAATCCAGTGGCAAGTTGAGACAGTTTTTTTTATTTACTTATTTTTTTGAATGTTTTGCTCTTTTACAGTAACATTTTACAATAAGCAACAATTACTTCTAAGTCAGGGTTCTGAACACAGTGATTTATTTGAAGCGTTTTGTTACTCTTGATTTTGGTATTTATTACGTGTAGGTAAGAATTTGATCTTGGTTTGTTACAGGTATATGTGGCCTCTAGTTAAGATGCATGGTTTGGTCCGGGGAGTCTCATGTACTCAAAAGACTCCACAAGGCTTAGGTCAGATCAGCTTGCTGGTCCCAGGTCTGTGTGGTGGTTTCTAAAGATCTGACTCCTGCTGTAGTCCAAGTTTTGTAAATTGTCCCCCAAACTTTATAACTTTGCTTCATAATCCACTCAAACCTGCGGCTATCGATGCTGCGTGTGTACTTATTTAATTTTTTTGCTATGCTGTTTTTCTTCCACTCAACTTTCATCATAGTGCTCGCCATTCAAGAAACTTTGAAAAACCCATTTATACTTGCAGATATTAATTTGTAAAGCTCAATTGTAGTGCACATAAGATGGTTTTCTGCTGTGTTTCTCTTCAGTCTTTGTTAAGCTGATGTTTGCCTTTTGCAGGTGGAGGAGATCACCAGCGTGTACGAAGAGGTGGACGAGCAGCAGTACTCGAAAATGGTGCGAGAGAGGCAGGAGGACGACTGGATTATTGACGATGGTGAGATCTGGTTTTGAGAAACCACTGCAGAACACAGGCTGATGGAGGGTTCTTCATTCTAAGTAACGCCTTCCTTCTTTCAGACGGCACAGGATATGTTGAAGACGGGCGAGAGATCTTCGACGATGATTTAGATGATGATGTTGTAGAAAGCAAAGGTAACAAGCTAAAAATCCTTTGGAACAATTGAAAAATACAGACATCATGTGCTTAAGTATTTGGTTTGTGCTTATAGGAAAAGGGGGCGCAAAAGGGAGAGAGTCAAAGAAAACTCTGAAGAAATCTTCTGTAGCGAAGCCTAACACTATTAAGAGTCTCTTCATGAACAGCAATGTTAAGAGACCTGCAGAGGTCAGTATTTCTGAGAATCTTTGACAAAATATTCTCTAAACTCACTGGATGCTTAATGTTTTTTGTCATGTATGCTGTCGATGGTTTGTCAGACATTAGATGATGTTCTTACATTTTTCTCATGTTTTGTAATTTCTTTCTCTTACAGAAAGATGTGGATCTGTCCAAAGATGACTTGTTAGGAGATATTTTACAAGATCTACACAACGAGGTATGTATAAGTGAAGAATTAGACCAAACATTCTCCCACTGACAGGAATAACAAATAGTTCCTGCTGCCTTTAACCTCTCTAATACCTTATTCATCTGTGTTTCCAGAAACCTCCAGCTCTCACTCCTCCACCTTTGGTTACCCTGAAGAAAAAGAAGCCAGTGGGATCAAGCATGAATCCCTTCTCCATCAAACCTCACATGCCAAAGGTGAAGCCGTCATATCCTGACCAACATGCAGTTTTATTGCTGTTTATGTGAAGATTTTGCAAGAATCCATCACTGCAAACATCACAATTGAATAATTATGCAAACACCCTAATGTCACAGGAGAAGCCCTCATCTGCAGGGTTAAAACCCAAGGTGATGCGACCTCCGCCTCTGGACCCCTCTCCCCAGCCTTCAGCCCATCCTCCACCTGCAACAACCGAGGTTCTTCCAGAAAAACATGAAGCAGAGCCAAACGAAGACAGAGGTTAGATGGAATGTCAAGAGCTTTCATACTCTTGAGATGCTTCACAATAAGACAAAACCAATCTGTCTGTTGCAGAGGACGACAGCCTGGCTTTTGAGGGGGTCGATTTTGATGAGCCAATGGAGGTTGAGCATGAGGAGCAGAAGGCTGTAGCTAAAGATGAAGTCAAACTTGAACCCGAAAGAGGGTTGACGGCGATTGAAGTTAAAGTGGAACACAAAGCTGAACGTCAGGATCCAGTTCTGCTGTGAGTTTGTGTCTGGATCTTTGCTGCACTGAGAAGTTAGTGCAGTGTTTTTCCCTAAGGATCAAGTTCATTCTCATGTCCATTCAATTCATATCTGTGTATTTGTCCTCTTAAGATATATCTGACACATACAGTCCCATTCAATAAATTATTTCAATAACTAAATTCACTATCAGAAGAATCGTATATAGATGAATTACACACAAACTGATGTTTTCCAGCTTCGGTTTTGGTTAATTACAATGATTTTCCAGTTGCAGCAAATTAAATATACTATTTAAAGTCTAAATACAGCAGGCCAATGAAAAACAAAAACAGAACTGTGGACTTGATAAAAAAGTGGATAATACCCATTTAAAGGTTCTTTTCAATAGGTCGTTTTAATCTGACAAATGCGTCTCATCAGGATGCATACTCAGAATTTTTAGCATTTATTCCAAATCAACAATAGTCATTTATTAGTTGTACGCCTTGCTGACATAAACCAGAATCACTGTTACTGAAATACATGTGAAATGTATTATGTTTTTAGAAGATATTTATACTTAAAGCGTTTTCTTGTTTTTAGGCCCAACAGAGTTGGAAGCTCTTGGGGACAGGAGGCGGCAGATGAAGTC